TTTTCTTCTAAATTAAACAATCTGTACTACTTGCAAGTATTCAAAAATAAGTATATATTATATAAAAGAACGTCTGAATATATTTCTGATATATTTAAGGGGACTTTTATAAAAAAGAAACATTAAATAAATATTTGAAAAGCTCGCAAACTTAAATACATTAAACACCCTCCTTCGCGGACTTACGGCACTTTCAACTCCTTCTAAAGCCCACTCCTTGCTACGCGGCCAGGTGCACGTGGAACAGGTAACAAGCAACTGGATACCTGTAGCATTTAGTTGTAGATGCGTTGGCAGAGCGCGCAAAACATGTTAATTTGCGAGCTACAAAATGCATCCGATGATTGCCTGAGCATCGTGGGTATTTAAATTCTCCTTTTTTTCTGCTCAATTGATAGGGTTAATTGGGAGCAGCCGTGGGGGGTACGGGCCGGTGACAAGGCCATCCTATAGCTCCTCCGCCATTATGCATCTTTGGCATCATTTCGCCTTAGTATCGTGACATTTAACTTCCTACTTTCCAGCCCCAACCCTATTTGATTAGTGATTTCCTAGCATTATGCAACATTTACTCCACATCCAGTATTATTTGCAGACACATATCATATTATCGGCGCGTCTCCGTTATTGTGGTTTATTTTTCTGGTGCTGCTGGTTTTTTTTCCGTTTCCCGCAAACAATTCATTTTTCCAGTTTGATTGAATCATGTCGCACAGAGCTGAGCGGGGATTTTAATGCAATTTTCCCATTCCCAGTCGCAATCCAAGTCCAGCCCCATTTAATTGGAATTCCAATTTGGTGGCACAGCTCCACAGCAACAACAACAGCAACCGCCACAAAATCGTTTTTTCATCTCATTATTGCAAGTGGTCGAAATTAATTCATAACACATACGATATTAAACACACACAAAAAATCTGGTGGAAAAGCCACTGGCTGGTTTGTTTATCCGCAGCTTTTCACACTCCAAGGGAATAATAATTTATAATTTTGGTTAATGGAACCGCAATCATGATTATATTTTATGTATACGCTAGTTATCGAAAAACTCTAGGCAAAGTCCCACAATCTCTACTGTAACTTTATATTTTCGAGAATGCAACTGAAATAAATCTGTAGTGGGGAAAATCTCTTAAAGCACATTCCATACCAACATCCTTTCTTTTAAGCCTCCTCCTACACTCTGGTTTGGGCTTTTGTTGTTGTTTTATTCTGCTATCTTTCTCCATTTTTACCCACCAGCCGAAAAATTCTAGCCCAGTCACATTGCAGGAAAATGTGCGGAAAGCAGAGTCAATTTGCTGACTTACATAAAAAGTGCATATGCAACCATCTCCTTGCGCCGAGGCTTTTCCCGCCTGTACCCGAAGGCACCCCGGAAATGCAATTTCCATATGGGCGATGGCAGAAAATGTACAACACTTTGCTTAGGATAACTCGTCCAGCTCAACAAGAACGTAACGAAACAAAAAACGCTAAAAAAAAAAAAAAAAAAAAAAAAAACCTGCAAATGCTCCAAATCTCGGGTTTAAAAGCCCACTTCCCCCCGAAAAGGCACGTAGTTGGGCTGGCTGGCAGTTATATCCTGGCATCCAGGCGATGCCTCCTGGGAATTACCTTGGTTATTGTTTCAACATTTTTATCTGCCCGCCCTCGACAACAGAACAAAAAATAATGGGCGAGCCCCACAAGGAAGCAGGTGAAATAATAAAAAAAAAAATAACAACGAGGCGACGACTAGGGCGAGTCCCTAAAAATAGGGAGAGGGGTGTATTACATATGCCACGAGTGCGTTTGGGCATAAATCCCAATTTAATCCATCCGGCTTTTAGTTTTGTACATTTTCCATTTCCCAACTCTTCTAGCCAACTTTTGTGTGTGTTGCTTCCTTCTTAATTTATACTTTTCTTATGTAAGTTTAAGTGTATCCAACATTTTTTCAATTTAATTTAATACTAACTATTACAAAGTAATTATTGGAGGGGAAACGGTGTAATTAAGGAGCCTGTAAAGTTTTAGTGCATTCATTTAGTAATATATTATTAAATATATTGGCAAATACGCTTGTATAATATTTTATTTTTTTACATTACGCATTTCTCTAAAAATTATAGTGCGATTTTTGTAATTTAAGTACTACTATTTTTGTAAAGAAAAAAACAAAATAAAATATCTACATTTTGTTACGACTGAAATCCCCATTAAATTCGTTGCAGTGTTGTTTGTATTTTTATACATATTTCGTTTTATTTTTTACCAGCCTAGTAACATTCCTTCCCTTATGACCCCCTCTGTCCCCTGCATCCTCTGCCTCTAGCACTCCCCAGTGGCTTGATTTTGGCTAAAAACTGTTTTCGGTACGGGCTAACATTTTTATGTTTTCGTTTTTTTGTTTTGTTTTTTGTTTATTTTTGTCTGTATTTCTACCTTAAAATGTTTGTTCTGTACTGTGTCTCGCTTCCACCTACCTGTCGCTAAGCCGCGCTTTCGGAACAATAAAAGATAAGCCGACGTAATCCCATGGGGTTTGCCCCCGATCTGGGTCCGAAAACCTGGAATTTATTATTCCTGCAGTTCGTCCGTTGTTCTTCTGTTAGTGATACACCAATGTTGTTGTTATTATTATTATTGAAATATAAACTTATCAGTGGCCTCTGAGCAATCACAACGTTGTGGTATAAAAGCTCACAAATGGCATTACATGAGGGGGAGAACATTGATAGGCGCCAGCACGATCACTATTGTGAAGCGAGCAGGCGATTGAATCACTCCGTGACAACAACTCCGATATACAATCAAGGTCAAAGGTTCAGCAAACACAGAGTCCAGTATCTGATACCCATTAACGGAAGTACTATTCCTGAGAGTATTTCTTATTTATAAAGAAAAGTAAGATTATCCCTAACTTTAAATAAACTTTGGTAATATTTGGTAAATACAATGCAATACTCTTTGATTGTAATTTTAATTTTAAATTATTAATATAATTTGGTACACCCAAATGTTGCAGGGTATTAAAATACTGAGCAAGGCGAAAAGAAAATGCAGATACAAAAGACAAACACTAAATATTTATGACTCCCTCGAAAGAGACGGCCAAAGAGAATGTCAGCAATGAAGTGACTAAGCTTTGACCCCGGCTCTGATCCCCTTCTCCCACTCCTTTTCTCACTCTCTCTGTCTCTCTGTGTGCTCCTCTACATTCTCTTTCGTCGGACAGCTTAGTTTAGTAACCCATTCAACTTGTCACCCATTTTCGCTTATCAATTCCACTTTCAGTTTCCATTTCTATTTTCCCAGCTCGTGTGAAGGCGATAAGCCTGCCACAAAGAAAAAATTATCTGACGGATGCTATTATAAAATAGATTTTGTATTTGTCATTTAAGATATTATGTACATATAATAAATAAGTAAATATAATTAAAGAGAGCTCTGAAAAAATGGTTACATCAAAATATTAATATTTTAAATTTAATACAAAAATTCCAGATAATTTTTGGGCAGTGCGCTTGAAAAGCTTTTCAATTAGTTTAAAATAAAAACAAATAACAAACGAGCTAACAAGCTAACAACAAGCTCAACACATTGAAATGCATTTTCGACTCGAGATAAAGTTAAAGTTAAAAGTTTAGTTGAAGGCCAACTGCAGCTTAATTCTTCTCCTCCCTTTTGTTAGCTTCTCTTTCATAGTTCTGCTTAGCCAACTAAAGTGAAGCCCCACAAAGTGCACTAAAAAACAGACAACAAATGGTGAACAAATACATACATAGATACACACATATATCTTATATAAAAGAAAAACAGAAAAACCGCCTGTCGAGACACATTTGAGCAATAAAAGCAAATGCGAAAGAAGTGGAAAAATATAAGAAAAAAAAATAAACAACAATAACGAGGCCAGCAAATCACAGCGGCTGAAGAAGAAGAAAACGAAGAAGAAGAAGCGTGAGCCAGGTAATCAGCACCACCAAAATAGCACCGTGGGTGCCGTGCCAAAGGTGGGAAAACCTTAGAACAAATAAATCGAACTCAAAGGAATAGCATTGAACAAAATAGAGAAATAATATTAGAAGAATTGTTTATGAAAATAGTAAATACTTATGTTCTTTGTAAAATTGGAAACAAATGTCCATATGTCTAGCAACGATGATTCAGATTTATTTTTTTTTGCTGACACAGCCCGTTTCAAGTAAGTTATTATTATTTTTTCATGCACATATGTATATATTCGTCCCACTGTGCCGACAGGAAGCAGCGTTGAAGAAGCAGAAAAGCTGAGCCAAACAAAAGGCAAAGGTAAAGAGCAGCTGCTGCTCTCCTCCGTCTTTCGCTCTCACCGATCGCTTACCTGGTCCTTTTTATTCAACTCCTCACCCTCTTGACACACACCCCACCCCCCTGGCCTACCTGTGTGCTCGCTAGCCATTGGAGCGTGAGAGGAAGGGAGATGGCAGCAACAATAAACCTGCTGCAACGACCCGAAAAATTTGCATGAGCAGAAGCAGCAGCAAAAGCAGGAAGAGGGAGGAAATAGAGGAAGGAAGGCGAATAGAAAAGGGACAGGGATGAAGTGCATTAAAATGCATTCTACAAAAATATTCCCACATTTTTGTTGCTAACAACAAAAACAACCCAGAAAGACGCATTAATCAATAAACATTGCGTTTAAAGAACGATTAATTCCCATACTTCAATAGATTACGACATTCTCTGCAAAGAGACAGAGGAACCAAGGTGGTATCTACGCAGGTGGCGGCAGGTAAACGGACGTTGAAATAATAATCCGGAAATTTCTACACGACTTGAAATTAAATCCGAAAAAAAGAAACCCAAAAGCCGAACCAAATTGAAAATAAATGAAATGCAATCCGAAAACTGCTGCAATCCATAAAAAGGTGGCTCATATTTTCTGCCCCTTCCCCACCTTCTGATTCGTTGTCCAGTGAAAGTTCTCAGCGAACGTGTCGCAACATAATTAAACATGAATAAAAATGACTTACCTCAGCTTGGATAAACGAGATTCCAATTAATTCCTTGTTTTGTCGAACTCGAACTCCATTTGATTCTTGAAACAAATAAATAAAACCCCGATAAACACTTGGAAACAACCAGAAAAAATTAATAAAAAATATATAAGAGGCGTGCAGCTCTTTTTGTTTACAGTTAAAAATTTCCCTTCACATTAACTCAATCACCAATTGTTTTAATTAATTTCATCACTTTATATTTTATTAGTTTAATTATATTTTGCTCTAAATGTGTAAATTGTGTTGTAATTAGCAAGGAAAATTTCACATATTTTTGTATAATTTGCCAAATTATTCGTTTTTAATTGTTCATTAAATTATTAATTTGTTTTTTGATTTAGTTAGCTCTGTTTTCTCCACTGATAATTGTTAATTGAAGCCAAACTGTATTTACAAAGCACCTGCAACGCGCGCGCGCAACTTGCACAAACTTGTCGAACGCTGTTGCTATTACCGTTGCTTTTGTTGCTCTGCGGCTGCGCTGTTGCGTCTGCGCTCCGCTGCGCCGATGTGTGACGACACGCAACTTGCAAAGATTTCTTTCTGTTCCTGATGCCGTTGTTGCCGTGGTCTTACGCAGTTTGCAATGCGTGCCAGCAGCAAAACACAATATAACAAATAACAATAACAAAACAACGCGCGCGAAACAAAACCGAAAACCGAAATGAAAACAAAAAACACAGCGAGCCGATCGCGCAAGTCCGATCCAGCGAATTCTCCGATCAGTGTGACCAAAATATTAGTGGTGGGAAAACACCGAACTTCGCAGATATCGATGTTTTTCGATAACTTTGACTTGAGATGTCTGGTGGGGTTTTCAGAGAAAGCGAGAGGCAAGCAGGCTAAATATACTGTTTTATTAACATTTTTATTCCTTTTTGCACTCCCATTGGGAAATACAAAAAGTGAGCCCTAGTATTTTATTTATGTCTTCGTAATATCGATGTATCGATATTTTCCCTGTGATATGGCAGCACTCAACTCAGCTGTTTCCAAATTTGTATTGCCAAAAATTTGATATTTTATTTCGACTTTCGAAAACAAGTTTCCGGGAGAAGAAAGAAAGCAATTCCGCCCGCAATCTATGAGCCTGCTGAGCTGGCAGCGGCTTGCGTCCCCGAGGACCCTTTTCCGGCTTCTTAACCCCTTGACCACACATAGCATCAAGCTCAAACCAAGGGCATTTCACCAGAACCCACTGACAAAGCGATTTTACGCCGGCGACAAGAAAATGGTCAAGTATCTGACCCAGAGCGAGGCCATCAATGTGGACCAGGAGCTCTTCACGTCCTACAGATTCAGCGTAGACCAGCTAATGGAGCTGGCCGGGCTAAGTTGTGCCCACGCGGTGGCCAAGTGCTTTCCCCCGGAGAGCCATTCGCGGGTCCTTGTCTGCTGCGGTCCAGGGAATAACGGAGGCGATGGCTTGGTCTGCGCCCGCCACCTCTCCCTGATGGGTTACAAGCCCGTCATCTACTACCCGAAGCCAACGCCCAAGCCCCTGTACGAGGCCTTGAGCCACCAGTGCCAAATGATGGAGATCTGTGCGGTAAGCGAGTGCCCAAGCGTTGAGGTGGCCGCCAGCCAGTACGATCTCATTGTGGACGCCCTCTTTGGGTTCAGCTTCAAGCCACCCGTTCGGGCTGATTTCGTTTCCGTCGTGGAGCTGATGCAGCAGACAAAGCTGCCAATAGCCAGGTGAGGAGACGGGTTACCAGGTGGAGGCATGATCCAATCTAATCTATTGTTTCCCTTTTAGCGTGGACATACCCAGCGGCTGGGACGTGGAGAAGGGCCGAGTGAATGAGTGCGACTTGGAGCCGGCTCTGCTTATTTCCCTGACTGCTCCCAAGCTCTGTGCCCGCCACTTCCGGGGAGAGCACCATTACCTGGGCGGCAGATTCGTGCCGCCAGCTCTGCAGCGCAAATACGAACTGAATCTGCCCGTCTATCCCGGCAACGAGCTGTGCGTCAAACTGTGATTCACTGGGAATAAAGGGGATCTTTGATCTTGAGCCGACAGACATTAACATTCCTTCTGTTTTATTTCAAATATATTTATATATTATTACTTGTTATACCATAAAATATCTATTTGTACAAACGATTGTAGTTCTTGCGCCTGCGATCCTCCTCAAAGTTGTTGTTCCTGGCCCATTCCTTGAGGTTACCCTTGGAGCGCAGCATGGCCGACTTGGAGTCCACGTCGCGTAGCACAAACGGGGAGAAGCCGGCGGTGTAGTCCTCATTCAAGGCATTCGTCTTGGTCTTGGCCACACGCGATGGCATTTGCCGGGGCATCGGCTGATCCTCAAAGAGGATGGGATTCCGCGAGTGCTTGCCGCCCTGGAAGCGCGGCAAACTCTGGTTCTTGTATTTGTTGGTCAGTGGCCGACGCGTGTTTATGTGTATCACTTGGCGACCGTTCTCGTCCAGGCTGACGGCCACGCGCTTTAGTGTCTTGTTGCCGCAGTTGGGACAGAAGACCTTGGTCATGATGCTGGTGGTCTTGTAGCAGGCGTAGCAGCGTAGGATGTAGGTGCGCAGCTGCTTGATAATACGGCCATTGAGAGCGGCCAAATGGAGATTGAGCTGCTTGAGGACGTTCTGCAAAGCGTAGTCCGTGGTCATGCAGGCCACGGGCGGCACCTCGTCGGTCTCCACCTTGCCCTCGAGCGCCTTTTTGGCCTTCTTGATGTTGGAGTGCGTGATCCAGCCGTCGTCACCCACGTCCTCTTCTTCTGCCTGTGGACGCTCCTCCTCTTCCTCGGGTTCGCCTTCGCCTTCGTCTGCCCTCGGCTGGGATATCAGCAACTGGGAGAGCTCCTGCTCTTCCTCGGCGCTAGGCGCACACTTGAGCTGCTCGAAAAGTTTGTCTAGCTCTTCCTGTGAGGGTTCATCCTCCTCTGGCTGGCAGGGTGGGGCTTCCTTGCCCGCCAACTGAGCTTCAATGGCGGCTTTCACGTTGTCCACGGGTGTGGTTTCCGCTTCCTCCTCCTCTGGTTTGCCCTCTATAGACTTATCCACCTCCTCCTCGGATGCCTCCTCTTCCTCCTCCTCCTCCTCCTCCTCCTCCTCCTCGTCAGACTCTTCCTCACCCTCGGGCATGTACCAGCCCACCAAACGCTTGTTGCTTGCATCCAGCATCTCGGCGGGCTTCTCCTTGGAGGCAATAGTCTGCGCCATTATTGGTTCTGTGCGCAAATGGGCAGTGCCCACGGTGTCCGCCTCCAGCTCGTAGGTGAGGGAGATGACCTTTAGATCGATGCCCGAGAGACTGGCGTAGTCTCCGGTCCGTTTGGCGAACTCCACGCAGTGCTTGACACTCTCGGGACGCGGCTCCCGCACCTGCAGGTCGAAGGGCAGGACGCAGAGGCGTCGGATCTGTCTCTTGTTGCGCACCTCGGCCACAACTTCGGGCACTGTCAGCACCTGCTCGGCATATTCCTAAATTCGATTTACTCGTTAGTGGGTTTGCAGTCTTGATCTAGAGCACACTCACGTTCAGGGGCACGGCGTTTATGAAGGCCGTAGTGTCCGCTACCAGGAACTTGATCTTTCCACTTGTCTCCGCCATTTCGCCGGAAAACTCTTACATGAAAAACAAAGGAAAGCAAAACAAAACTTCGCAAGCAGCACGTGTCGGAGTGGCCAATGTGACCGTAGCACAAATCAAATAAAAACCGTACGCGTTTCAAGTGTGCACTTGTCTGGCAACACTCTGCACATATTCGATTTACTTACACCTCTATTGACCAATCGAATATCCAGAACGCCGGGCCAAACATCGACAATAGGCTGTTTTGAGGACATCGATTACTGTTGGTATCGGTGGTTTCCCACCTCTACTAGTAATGTCAAAAAGCAATTCTTTTTTCATCCCAGATTTTGTGAATTGTGAATTTGTGAAAAGCGCCCTAACCAGGTGAGTGAGTCGGCCGGAACTAGGGAAATCGGTTCGCGAATTGAAAACCGCGTCCGACGATTGGCCCTGCAAAGCACTCGGAGAACCCGACAAAAACCAAGCGCCTGAAATGTGGAATCAATGGCAGGCAGCCGCCGCTAGCGGGGTGCCAATGATGGCTGCTTTGCCGCCGCAGCCGTCCCAGCCGCCACCGCTGCCCGATGCACCTCCCCCGCCGCCGCCGACAGCCTCCGATCCGGGTACCGGGGCCACGGGAGCACCCATGGTCGCCGGCGATGCGACAACATTAGCGGTCGCTGCCACCGTCGTCGCCGCTCCCCCGGCCACCGTCGCTGCGGCAGCTGCTGTCAACCCTTATAGCAGTGGTTTGGCGACGGCAGGCGGGGCGGGCAACCCCTACGAACAGTATACGGCCGCCCAGTACGCCGCGATGACTCCGGAACAGCAGTATGCGCTGCAGCACCACTGGCACCAGTGGCAGACCTATCAGGCTGAGTACGCCAAGTGGCATGCCCAGTACGGCGAGCAGGTTAGTGCTCCTTCTTCCTAATCCCCTGTGAAACGCTCTGTTAATCGTAATTTATTCACAGTACAAGCGGGAAATGGCGGCAGCAGCGGCCGCCAATGTTACCGCGCCTCCGGCTCAGGTGGCGCAAGTGGCTCCCGTTGCCACTCCAGTTGTAGTTGCCCCCGCGACGCCGGTGGTGGTTGCTCCTGGGCCGCAGGCATATCCGCCGGCCCAGACCTATTACCAGACTGTGCCCACTGTACCGGCACCGGTACTGGCACCGGCACCTGTCGCCAATGTTGGTGGTGGGCCGCCGATACCTGGCAAGATTACCGCTCAGCCGCAATTGTACAACCAACCGCCGCCGCCGCCTCCACAGAAGACTGGCTACAATCAGCAGAATCCCAATCAGATGAATCAAGGCGCCTGGTCAGGACCACCGCCCATGCCCATGCAGCAGCATCAACCGCCGCCGTCCCAGCAACAGCTACAACAGCCACCTCCCCAGAAATGGGGCAACCAGATGAACTACAATCCAGGACAGCCGCCAGATTTGCAGCAGGGCTTCCCCAATCTTCAGCAGCCGCCGCCTTCGCTGCAAAGACCACCACCTCAAAACCAATACCAGCAGCACCCGCCGCAGCAGCAGCAGCAACAGCAGAACTCGATGGATAAGCAATGGGGCAATAACAGGCCGCCATGGGAGTCTGGTCCTCCGTCAAATAACTCGAATCCAGGACGCTGGGATGGCCCACCGCCGCAGAATGACATGAATAACCGCTGGAATGGGCCGCCACCGCCTTTAGGTGGCAACAATGGACGCTGGGAGGGACCACCGCCACCGCAGTCATCCTCCTCTGGGGATCAGAACCGTTGGATGAGCAGCGGCCATTCGAATGAGAATCAGAATCAGAACCGCCGCTGGGAGGTGCCGCCCCCGAATATAAAGGATCAGCAGCAACAGGGCCAGAATCAGAGCCAGAATCGCTGGCAGAGCAATGACGACGATCATGGAGACATGGAGGGATCGCGCAAATACCAGAATAACTACCAGAACACTAGAAAGAGTTGGGGATTCGATGGCGGCGTCGGTGGAGGAGGAGGAGTAGATTCAAATGCCGGAAGCCGCAATCAGAATCAATTTTTCAAAAATTCTCAATCTGATTTTGGACCAGACTCCTCCTCGTTGTCAGGCAGCAGTAACAACAACAACAACAACAGCAGCGGCAATAATTTTGGTTCGAATTCAGGAAATTATCAAAGCGGCAACAACTTTGGCAACAACTACAGTCAGGATCAGGGCGGCTATGGAGGAGGAGGAGGAGGAGCTGGTAATCAGGCAAGAGGCGGTAATCGCGGTGGAGGAGGAGGATCTGGTTCAATGGATAACTTTGGCAACAACAACAATAACAGCTTCTCCAATAACCGTCGTCAGAACAACAACAACAACAATCGCTGGGAGAACAACAACAATCGCAACCAGAATCCGAATCAAAACCAGGGATATCCAGACGAGCGTGGACCAGGTGGCAATGACATGGGACCAGGAGGTCCCGGTGGAAATTACAATCAGAATCGTGGCAACTTTAACCAGAGAGGTGGCTCAAATCCACAGCAGTTTCCCCAAAATCGCAACCAGCAACAACAGCAGCAGCAGCAGCAACACGATCTGGACGAGGCCAGTTTTGATCGATTGTTTGACCAGTGGGAGAAACAGTTCGAGGACTGGAAGCGCGCCAATGCCAATCATCCTGACCGCGATGAGTATCGACGCTACGAGGAGGAATTTGAAAAGCAGCGTCGTCGCATTGCCGAGCGCAGGGAGCAGATGCGACGCCGCCGACAGCAGCAACTCCAGCAGCAGCAGCAACAGCAGCAAGGTGGTACGCCCCAGAAAGAGGGTCCAGGTCCAGACCAGGAAGAGCAGGAATCAAAGGATGAACAAAGAAATTACAATGACCAGGGTCCAGGTCCCAATTTTCGCACTGGACGTCCTAATCGTTTCAGCAATGCCAACAGCGACTTCGAAAGAGGAGGAGGAGAAGGAGAAGAAGCAGGAGGTGGAGGAGAAGGACCACCACCACCACCTGGCTACCGTGGTAATCAAGGACCACCGGGGCCGCCTTTGTTAAAGCCATTTGGCGCTCAAGAAGAGTCAAACGACAAGCCGTCGCCTGGAATTCGAGGCAATCAAGAACCACCGGGGCCTCAAAGACCACCAATGAATCCATTTGGAGATCAGAAAGAGTTCAAATACAAATTAACATCTGATTTCCCAGGCAATCAAGAAGCACCAGGACCTTTTGGACAAGGATTACCCACAGACAAGCCCTTGTCATCGCCGAAAAAGGAGCCAGCAGCTTCTCCCTCTCAAAATCCCTCAACTCTGACTCCCGCCCCGCCAGTGGCTCCCCAGATTCCCGCTCCGCCGGTGGCGCCTACGTCGATCCCCACCAATCTTGGCAAGCGTCGCCAGACAAGTGGATCCGCTGATTCCACACCCGCGAAGCAAATCAAAGAGGCGGAGCCGATATTCACCATTTCCCTGGACGACGACGATGACGATGACGACGTGGCCGATGAACAGCCACCGGTTGACACACCCATGGGCAGCATTTTTAAGAAGAGTGACGGCATACCGGGCCTGGATTTGGTGGCCGATGGCAGCAACAAGAATTCAACTTCATTGTTCGATGATAATGATTCCGCGCAGCCGGAGGCCGTAGAAGCAACCGAATCCTCAGAGGCTGTCAGCCAGAGCAACGAGTCCCTTAGCAAGGCCCTCAAAGACCCAGCATTCCTCAACAATCTGACTCAGGCTGTGGCCAATGTGCAGGGTCGGGAGCAGCGCCAAGATCGCCAAGATGCAGAGAGCCAACAGCAGGAGCAACAACAGCAGACGGATGATGGAGAGCCAGAGGCAGATGGACGTCAACTGTCCTTTGCCGAGTGGCAGCGTAAGAAGAACAACAGCAATAACGGGAACGACAATAAATCGCAGGATTCGCGCGACTCAAATAGCAGTCCAAGTGTCCATGATCGGACCGAGAACCAGGGACGCCCGAACTCTGGCTTTGGGCAAGGACCGGGTGGAATGGGTCCGGGTCCTGGTCCCCGTTTTGGGCCCAACTTGGGCCCCAATCAATTGCCGGGCAGCAACTTTATTGACTTTGAAGGCAACAATGGTCCCCCCGGTGGCTTCGGCCCTGGCCCTGGTGGCCGCAACTTTGGACCGGGACCGCGTCATCCCTTTGGCATGGGACCGGGAGGACCTAACTTTGGACCCAACGGCCCTGGCCCTGGGCCGCACTTTGGCCCCGGACCCAATTTCCGCCACAACAGACCCAATTTCGGGCCCAATTTCGGACCCAATTTTGGTCCGGGAGGTCCCGGAGGTCCACGCAATTTTGGACCACGAGGACCACCATTCGGACCCAGACGCGATGACTTCGGTGGACCACCTTTTGGGGGTCCTGGTCTAAACTTTGGACCAGGCCCCAACGGACCCAATATGAGGGGATTTAATGGAGGCGATGGTGGCGGCGGTGTCAACAGTGATAATCCGTTTCGGCGACAGAGCGGACCACCGCCACCTAACTTCAACGACGACGATGGTCCGCCGAGAGGCCCGAGAAACTTCCAGAGCCGAAACAGTTTTGGTGGGAACCAAGGACCGAACAGCAATCGAAATAACTGGAGCGACGGGTATGTGTACTAATTTTTGATTTTCTTTATTTAAACATTAACATTTATTGAAAAATTTATTAAACTTATAAAGTTAAACAAAAAGAAAAAGGTGGAAGGGAAAAGGGGAAAGCGGGGAGCGTTTTCCCTCATATTAAATCTCTAGAACTTTCTGTCGTCTGATTGTCTGACTATGGTTTTGGATATGTAAATCGGATATTTAAATTCCGTTTTGTTTTTTTTTTTTAATTATTTATTTTTTGTTTGGAAATCAACTACGAAAAATCATACTAAAACCTCTATAAGGGTTATTTATCTATATATACATTTAGAATATCTATAATGACACTAGTTTTAAATGTACGTACTAGGGAGCTATATATCGACAAAACTATCTTGCTATCAAAAATCGAAATATATCGAAAATCTATCGAATTTAATTTTATAATATAAAAAAAAATACTGTTACAACCAGGTATTTCATTAATTTGTTATTTTTCTTATTGTAATTGGTCCGATATATTAGGCAGAATATAGAGTTATCGCCCAAAAAAAATTTTGAAATTAAAAATATGAAAAAATATTGCATTTAAAGTTAAAATATTAAACAAATATTAATAAAAACCACCTGAAAATATTACCTATTTTTTCCGATTGTATTGGTCCGATAGATTGATCGCACATATGTAGATATTTCCAAAAGAATGATCGAATTTTGAATTAAATTAGTTTTATTTGTATTTGTTTATTTATTTTTTTAAACAAAGTTTAGACATATCAAACAGGAATATCGATTTATCTCACCTAACGTAACTTTAAAATATCGGTTTATATATCGGATATATGCTTTTCTACTGTCATCCCTAGTGCGTACCTATGGGTAGAAATTATTTGTGGGAAGAGATTGTACTTTTTTTGGGGCAGAAACAGAAATGTGAGATAATTATAGCTATAATTTCGATTAGATAATACCAATTGAGAGCTAATTAAAATGCTGCCCACCTTTGACAATGAACTAATTTTAGTTTGAATGTCTTTGATTGTCCGATTAAGCCGTGAATCGTTTCTTTATCCTGTCTGTATAGTGTGTTTACTAAAACCTAGTAAAAATGTGGAAAATCAGATGTTATTCCGCCTATTATATTCCTTCCCTTCCCACACCCACATCACTCTTTCTCTCTCTCTCTTTCTCTCTTTGTCCCTATCTATTTCTCCAATTTTGTATCTGATATTTATCATCCAATTTAATGTAGTTAACTTGAGCAGGCATTGCACTTTTTCTAGTTATCGTTAATGCTGGAATTTCGATTCCAACCCCGTTTTCTCTTCTTCTCTTCTACTTCTATGCAATACTGATAAAAATATAACGAATATTTTACATAAAAACAAAAACAAACGAAAAAAATCGACGTAATATCGAAATATATATGCATTTATATATATACATTTCGCACGATATATCTCTGTGTTGTCTGAGCAGCAAGAACAGGGGCGGTAGATTCAACCAGCAGACGAAGCAGCAGCACAAGATTTGAGATCTGAGAGATCTGTGAGATTTGCGATCTGAATAGGAGCAAGATTGGGAGGGGAGGCTGAGCTGAGCGGAAGGGCAGAGAGCAGAGCAGAGCAAAGCGTAAACCCCCCTTCCTGAAGATCAGATCATCTGACAGATCGCCCAAGCCAGCTGTGTCAGAATAAGACCTATTATACGTAGCATTAAGGATACAACACAAACCCACACACCCCGTCAACCAACGATAACATGAAGTACAGAGACCCATTGGCTGCTCCAATTAATCAATAATTATGTTAAATTAATTCAATTGAGATGAGCAAAGGTTGGATCATCGTGAATGTGGCTTCCATCCTTTACTTTATTGAGTTCCCATTATGTTTTTTGAGTTTGGTATTAAAGCCATAAACACACACACCTTTCACAAACACTAACGTCAAGCTTAGTGGACATTGTAGTAGGAAGTTATATAAGACGTATATGTTACATATATACCCTTGAATGAATATCAATAAAGCAAGATAAAACAAACTCACTATTATTGGGGGATGATGTCAAAAAAAAATAATATTAATAATAAAATCATGGTCCGATTCACTCAATTTGTCAGTCTGTTTGCATATCCAATATCCCTTCCAATATCTAGCCATATATTTCCGATCGGTAAACAAGGCAAAATGTGGTATTATCTATATTTTTTAGTGTTTAAAATGAAACAAAGACTGTTCTCACTCTATCACATTTAATATATAATATAAATATAGTTTAAGAAACGCACTTGATTTAAACATTTAAAAGCTTTAATATACAATCCCAAATGATATACAAATATAAATTTTAATTTGAAAACAAAGGGTTGTAGGCTTTTCTTTGGTCTGCAAAGTAAGTACTTATGAGGTTTCTTGACTGGGAACAGTTTGATTAGGTTTCTTGGATTGGAACCGAATCAGATGTATAGTTTGCCGGCCAAGAAAGTTCATTGGTATTTATTTTGCTGGCTGATCCCATTTAAAATTTATATAGGCCATCCGTCCGATAACAAATTTATTTCAAATCGATAAAAGAAATTATACTAAACGATGCAAATTTTGGGGTAACTCGTCCGTTGTTCAATATCCGCAGGTAACAAGGGTTATATTTATGCAACAGAATGAGAAGATCTCTGATCTTATAAAGTATGTACATATATATATTCTTTCTTTAGCTTTGTCCGTTTGTCCGTCTGTCCGCATTATCAACTGAATCTTGGAGACTATAGGAGCTAGAATCTTTTTTGACTGCGAAATCATTTTAAGAAGGGGGTAAGGTTATTTCGGTGCAAAACGGGCCAATATTTAAGGAAATGTTCTAGAGAAACGGCTAAAGTTAGCTTAATTATTTAAAAACCATAAAATAACAAAACGTGTAAACAATTTTTTTTAATTTTTTGTATTAAAAAATATGTAGAGGTCTAGGAGTAAGGGAGAATCTCCAGAGTCCCCTTCCGTGTACATCCTTAAAAAACATTCGATATGAAAAAACTATTATCCATTATTTAAAGAATACATTTTCCTAGGTACTCATGTGGCGTTTTTATTTTTAATTTTTTTCGCCGATTGGTTATCGAAATTTTAAGTCAAAGCTAGGATTTTTTTTTATAAAAAAAGCTAATTTGTTAAAGAAAAAATATAATAAAATTTAAAATTAAAAAAGCTCGACGTAAGTACCTTTAGAATTAGTTAAAGAAGTTTTGTTCCAAATTTCAAATCGATTGCTCGAGTAGATTTTGATTTATCCGTGTGCACAGATTTTCAAAATGTCATTTTTCAGGAGAGCGCTTTGGTTTTTTTGATACAAACGAGCTTCGTTCAAATCTGCATAACTTTGTCAATTTTCCTATGATTTATGTAAAACTTGAATACAATATTCTTAAGATGTTGAGCCTTTAAAATAAAAAATAAAAATACGTTTACAAAAAAAATGGAATACCTTACCCCCCGCCTTAAAGCAGTGGTCAACTCGACCCTACTTCTGGCTTTAGAAAATTTCTCATGACAAAAAAGAAGAATCAGTAGATGTCATTTGGTAATTTTTTAGCTAAATCTAAATCAAATCTTTAAAAATGATATGATAAATAGGAATCTCAGTCTATATATATATTCTTTATGCAAATGCAAATATAATACTCCCTAGAGAATGGGGAGCAACTTGCTATTTATAAATAACTCAGTTGGGCTAATAGTCTAAGTTTAGGACCAATTATACAAGTATATATATATTATATATGTATGTAATATTTGGGGACTAGAGTTTAATGACAGTCTGCCCCATTGCCACGCCCTATTTTACCTTATTCCCAACCAAAAAACAAACATTATTTTTGTAGTAAATTTCAATTCAAGTAAAAGTTCAAGTGTTTTTCTTTCGGTTAAAAAACAAAAAAATATAATAATAAAAACACTGAAAACCTATAAACAAAAAATACATCAACTAAAATAATAACAAAAAAAAATCGAAATAACAAAACATAAAAACAAATGTAATTAATAATGAAACCAACCATCATCAAATGAATTGTATACAAAATGTGCCACAAATCACGAACCACAAACCTCAAACCTCAAACGAACCTCGCAACAATCACATCCAAAAAACCACGAACAAATCAAAGGCCGGAGCAGCAGCAACCTTATCCCGGCGATCCCGTTTACCGTCCCATGAAGGTCTTCGACTATTCAAATTCAAGCTCAATGACGTCCGCCAAGGTTATCGACTATGGCCACAAGTCGGCAGATGCCATAGGTCCTGGTCCTGGACCAGGTCTTGGTCCTGATGCCGGTCTCAGTCCCGGTTTAGGGTCGGTTCCCTCCATGGCAATGCCAGAATTCCGACCCATGCAGACCTTTGAATATGGACACGCTCCGAGAATGGGAAATACAGGAACAGGAGGTGGAGCAGGAGCAGGAGCAGGAGCAGGTGATGGTGCAGGAGCAGGAGCAGGAGTAAGAGGAATGATGGACGGAGGAGGTGGAAAAGGAGGAGGAGTATTCAACAAGCGTAAAAATAAAAGACAAAACAAGCAGCGACTGAGGGAAGAACGCTTGCAGTTCCATCAAAATCGCCAGCTTCAATCGATTCCAATCGACGAGCAGGCTGTGAATGAGGTGAGTAAGGGTCAGCCAGCCGAAAAATAATGCTCATAATTAAACCCAATTACAATACTCTCTAGGAGCAATCATTGGGAGATGAGGAGAATCAGGAGGAGAATCTGGTGGTTAAGGGGGAGAATCTGGAGGAAGAGGAGCAGCAGCAAGATGGCCAAGGCCCAGCATGTACCGATGATGATCTTGAGGACATTTCCGATAATGAAGAGTAAGTCAATCAAAAGATTTTTAGAATTTTATGTCTTTGTAAAGGGCTTAAAGTGTTTTTAAAACAAATTTTAAACAAAAAACATGTTATAACTTGCAAAGACTTGAGGGGGAATAATATTACATATTGTACATGTTAAACGTGTTCTAAATTTGAATTTTGTCGTGAATTTTTGTTTGTAGGAAATAGTCAAAAAATCATCGTGAAACTTTAAAGATTGTTAAAAGGGGAAACGGAGATGAAAATTAAAATGTTTTAAAAACAATATTTTACAAAATGGCGGAACTATGAAATATATGCCGCGCTTCGATCCTTGAGTTTTCCGGCTTTGGACCTTCGTGTTGAAAATTCCTAAACAACAAATTATTTGTATATTTTTTATTTAAACTTAAAAAATCGAAAAAAAAAAATTTTAGTTTTAATATTTTCACAAAAATTGAAAAAAAAAAAAATTAATTAAAAAACGCAAAAATTTAAAGTGGACAAAAACCCGTTTAAAGTTGTTAAATTCGATAATAAAACTTTTATTTATAAATAAGAAACCTTTTTTTTAAGTAAATTCCTAATATTCAAATCCCTTTTATTCTTAGTAATCTTACCCGAATGGATGGCTACGGCGCGGGAGATGGCGACGATGATGGCGAGTCACTGCCATCGCCGCCACCGCCTTCGATGACAAGTAAATGGAATGCGCCGGCATCATCACCAAAGTCCCTTTTCCCCTCGGCAGCGACGGCCAATCAAAAGATACCCCAGCAGGCAACGGCAACTCACCTGGAGATGTTCTCCGGGCCAACGAATGAGAATCGCAATACGATCTCCGTGGATGAGGTACTATTGCCGCCCGGTCGTTTGACTCGTCCGAAACGTATTTGCATTATACTGCGAGGTCCGCCGGGCAGCGGTAAATCGCATGTGGCGCGTCTGATCAAGGACAAGGAGCTGGAGATGGGCGGGGCCAATCCGAGAATTCTCAGCATTGATGATTACTTTATCATTGAGAATGATTACACGGAGAAGTGTCCCAAGACGGGCAAGACGGTGAATATTATATACTATTAATTAATTAATTTTTTTTCATTAATTTATTAATTATTTGCTGCGTGCAGATTCCCAAAAAGGAGCTGTTGTACGAGTACGATGACACCATGGAGGAGACCTACATGCAATATCTAATTAAATCTTTCAAAAAGACGCTTAGCGATAATCTATACGATTTCATAATCGTTGACTGCAACAACAACTCACTGAGGACACTCAATGAGTTTTACTGCCACGCCAAGGACTCGAACTTTGTGGTGGGTTTATTTTTTGAATATATATTAAATTTTTAAAGAACCTTTTATGAAAACTCAACCCGTTGCATACACATTTCAGCCTTCATTTAATAGCAAATTTTGTAAACTCTCCCTTAGCCCTACATTGTGGACCTGCACTGCGACCTGGAGACATGTCTGGGACGGAATTCGCATAAGCGCACCGAGAATGAGATTCGGGTGGTGCTGGACAACTGGTGTGCCACGCCACTGCACTACATCAAGCTGGATGTGAGCACGCTGCTGGAGAACGTGGTCGAAATGGAAGATGTTGAGAATATGGCAATGGTAACTATGCACTGAAGGCGGCATCAACGGCGGCGGCGATGATGCGTCCCATGCTTGCGTCGTGTGGAGCACGAGCCGTGGGGCTTGGTTGGGTCAATTGGTAGCTGCTGCCCTTCTCTCTCTCTCACTCTCACTCTCCCCCTTTGCTGGCCAGTACACCAAAAACTCTAGTCATGATTAGTGTTTAAGCAAAGACAACGAAACAAAAGTCAATATTTTTTAATCGAAATCCAAAGGAATCCAAGCCAAAGGCCTAGACTAAGTTTTACTCTCAAACTCATAATTCAAACTAAATATAAAATATATAAAATATATTTATATATATATGAACATTACAGTCTCTTAGTCTCTAAGAAACACTCTCTACGATCCTACGATTAAGATCTTTCTTGCTCTTAGTAAAGGCAACTCTTTGCACACTGCTGTTCAAGCCGAACAATTTGTTGATTTATTGCGGCTCTTCGTCTCACTTGCAGGATGATAATGCCATCGCCGACGGTGGAGCAGGAGTCGCAGCCTCCGATGCTGCCACTGTCGAGGAGACAGATGACAGCAGCAGTGCCGATGCCGATGCCTCTCAAGATGTAAGTAAGCCGAAAATCCAGTCGACTGATATTGAGAATTGTAGGGAAAGGGTAATTCGTTTTTAAATCCACAAAATAATCTTAAACTATTCAAGCTTTTAGTTCAATTACATTTAAAGTAATAGGTTAGCACAGACCAGCAGACAAAAGCGTTCGTTTATGATTTTGAAAACGATAGTTTTGCGGGTTTCGAAAAAAGTTAATCACCTGTCATGGGTTTTGTTCCAGAAAACGCTATAATTTTCGGAATTCGAACAAGATATCGATTGCGGACCTTTTACGAATCATAATCGGGTATAATCCTAAGATTTTGCGGCGATACTTGTCCGCTATTTGTCCGTTTGTGCGTCCGTTTTTAAGCATTTAGCGAATTTAATGCAAAAAGTCCGATTTTAAGTCCGTATTTGATATTTTTAGCTGACATTTTTCAGATCCATCCGCACCAAGTCCGCTCTTTGTCTGCTGAGAGGCCATAAGTCATAGTTATTTAAATTCATACCTTTTCCAACAAGTATATAGTTTACTTATAAAGACTAACAAACCAAAGAGAAATAATTTCAATCCAGTCAACTTGATATAAATGTAGGTAATAATTGGCATAGCAACCGTACATACACCTCTAAAAAAAATTTCCGTTAAAACTCTCCCATTTATTGCACTCCATTCAAAAAAATAAACCCCCGGCTTTCATTCCTTGCGTTTCGTGTGCGGTGCAGTGCGGCTTCCTGAAAAGCAAGTGGGAATGTGACAACACCGAGGATAATTTGGGTAAGTGCGCATCATAGCCTCGTCTCTGGTTCTATCTCTGACTCTTGTCCATTATCTGTTTTAGCCCGCTTGGATGGCACCAAGCGTCTCATGCAGAACCGACGGCATGCCAGCATGGCCGATTATCTCCAACTGGAGGAGGATTGGCAGCCACCCATAACCACCAGTGACGGCAAGAAGCGGGTAAGTAAGAGGGGTCCGCGAAAAAGTATATCGGGCTGGAAAAAAATGAGACGAAAGATAACCAGGGCTATGGCCATCTCAGTTGTTTTCAAGAGATAAAAGATCCCAGCCAGAGATGAGAGAATATTAATTTATCGACGCGAAAAACGATCTAGATATGTGTATTAACTCTAATTTTAAATTACAAATATCGATATATAAAATTTAAAAAACTAAAAATTAATAAATAAAAAAAATAAATAACTTTATTTTTATTTAAAAAAAATAATAATAATAACTATTTATTTTTACTTATTTTTTTATTTATAAATTTATAGTACTTGAATTTTTATCTAAATAACTATAAATTTATAAATAAAAAACAAATAACTCTATTTTTATTTATTTATTTTTTTATTTTATAATTTATTTTATAATCAAAAATTAAATAACTATCTATTTTTATTTATTTTTTTATTTGTAAATTGATAGTTCTTTAAATTTTATCCAACGTTATTTGTATTTTCAAATAACTCATATATAATTTAAATTATTACCGTTTTCGATTATAATCGATTTATTTGTAGAATTTTTTAGTTAAAAATCGATTCATTGAAAATCGATAAAATTTAAATACATTAGAAATAATAGTAATAAATAAATTTTGTCGCATATTTTAAAGTTGAATGACAATTTTGTTGTATATTTAACATTTGTGTATTCAAATTTATCTTTGTCGATACATCATATCAAGCTATTTCTCTCGGTGTACATCCCTGATAAAGAACCCATCAGCAAAGAGCTGCTTAAAAGTCTCCAAGTTTTACTCATATATATTCATATATATATTTTTTGTACATTTCAGGTGCGTTGGGCGGACATCGAGGAGAAGCGCTCGCAGGAGAAGATGCGCGCCATTGGCTTCGTGGTGGGCCAGACCGACTGGAATCGCATGATGGACCCGAATGCGGGTAGTCGGGCTCTGAATAAGACCAAGTACATTGAGCGGATCCAAAAGCGTCGCTAATTATAGCCACGCAAGCTGGCACGCAAGCTGAATCAAATGGAGACCATTACCAATACAATTACCATTACCATTGCCCATTTACAATGGAGATCGTACCCCCTCCCCTCACTAGATAGACATTAGGTTTAATCATCCATCACCTAGAATGGCACTTGATCAGTATAATTTCGCAAACTTCAATTGTTTTGTAGAGCGCTGCATTTACGGAGCACGATATTCTCAGTTTAAATGGGAACCCATTCTCTAGCCTAATAAAATAAAGTTATACAATATGCCACGGATGTAATGGCATGTAATTTGAAATGTAAATTGTATCATTTTATTTATACAAGTACATAAATATACACATATATATATATACATTTTTTTCATTGCTATATTTGAAGAAATATAAATATAAGATGTACAGGAAAATAATGTTTACTTTAAGTTGGCGGGTTCATTGAACTCGAGCTCGAGCAGCTCTCGCTGCTCTTCTCTTTCGCCGCTAGCAACCATTGACAGCTGTTCGCGGTGGACCAAGAAAGGAGCAAAGGATGAGGATATTGTGTGTGTGTGTGTGCATTGCTCGCATACCTGCCAAGGTGAACTACAGATGACAGCTCCAGGCAGAGTTGCACAACACGGCGTATGAAGTATGCGCATGTGAAAGTGCTTGGATACGAGTAGGAGGAGTTGAAGCAGCAGCAGAATTGGGGGCCAAGTGGCACCAGCAGTCACCAATATAGTTTGCACCCATTCTGCTACACACAAACCCATTGACAGTCAGTGATGTCCTAGAGAAATGAAGCTAAATTACTTAAAAAAAGGAATTTAGGCTTTATTATAAAATTTACAATATCAAGACCATATATAAATTTATTTATTAACATGAATTTAAAATTATTTTCTATTTTAATGTTTTCAAAAAAATTGCAAATAATTTTAAACAGAAAAATCAACACTAAACTATTGTTTTGTTATGGTTTTAACGTTTTTTTTGTTTAATACTTTCCTGTAAATACCTCAAACATCTAAGATTTCCTGGTTAATGAATAACAAAACAAACAAACAATTTTGCAAACAAATACTTCCTTCCTTAAAAAAAAAGAAAACTAAACAAAATGGCTTGTCTTATTTCCGTTTCTCCTGGTTCTGACGGGTAACTAGCCAGATCTGGCAACTCTGTCTGCTTCCGCTGCGCTGCTTGTCGCCTCTGCTTGCTGCGCTGCTTCTAGGGGCCCCACTGCTTGGCTCGCTTCAGTCGAGCAACGCAACTCGAACGCAACGGTACACGAACGGACGCGTCCTACACACACACACGCACACAACACACACTGGCAGGACAACAACAGAGTGTGTCCCGATAACAGAGCCCAAACAAACACCTAACTGCAGTTCAATTTAATAAAAAAAAACAAACACATTTTTTTAAAGTTTAGCGTTGACTTAAAGTGGCAAAAAACTCCCTTCTTAACAGTAACAACAAATAACAAATAAGAAGCAGTGCTAAAAGTACCGAAACTCAGCAGCCGCATTTTGAAGTTACGTCAAAAGGAGTCGAGAAGAAGGGAGAGAGAGAGAGGGCCGAAAAAGCAAACAACAACAGCAACAATAGAGCAAAGCACGCGATAAACGAATCACGAGCAACTGTAAATGCGAAAGGAGAAAGCAGACGCTGGAAAGGAAGCAGTGAAAGGGAATTTGTTTTTGGCGCGTCGTCGTCGCCGTTAGCTTTTGTTTTTGTTTTTCCGTTTCTGTTGTTTTTGTTTTTCTTTGTTGATTGCTTTGCAGCCGGCGAAGGGTGCCAAAGCGGAGACTGATAAAGCGCGGAGGCGGCGCAGGCGAGGAGGAGCAGGGAGCAGCGAGCAGGAGGAACACCCAGGCTTATGTAAAGCGTAATATGGAAGCATGTCGTCCACTTCCAGCTCCGTGCTAACGTTGTCATCGTTTAATCTATTATTTTTCACCCAAGGTAAGCACTTGACACTTTACATAACCCCCGATCCCAATTGGGATTAATGAGTGTCCAGCGGGCTGGACATGTGTGCGTGAAAGTGTGTGCTGTGTGTGACCCAATTTGACTCCAATGGGAGTCCAGCTGGTCCAGTTGAAGCGAGGCTATTTTCCGGCCTGCGTTGGGTTTTTACTCATCAACGTCCACCTCCACCTCCACCTCCTCATACTTTATTCTCATTCTCATCCTTATCCCCAACATTTTCATTTTCGGTCGGGATGTCACCAGGGTGTAATAAATTGTGGGGATTCCCACGGTTTAGTGAGGGAAATTTTGATAAGTTGCCTGGCCTTACTGGATGGGCCAAAACTTAAGTGAATTGCGGCAAATCTCCCCAAGGCTTAGTTGCAAATTAGCTTGAATTTAAAGAACTCGTTGCCCAAATAAGCTTAGGTTAGCATAAGAAATCATTAGGGTTTTTGAAATCTTTTAAAAAAGGAATCCAAAAGTATGCTACAAAATATGAAAAAGTATGGAGTTCTGTCAGGAGTTTGTTATAATTTTAAAAAACATATTATTAAATGATGTCAAATATTATAATTAACAAGAGTAACTTGAGAGCTTGTTAGGTAATAATTTATTAATAATTTATTTAAATATTTCAAAAGAAGATATACAATTTTGAAATCAATTAAAATTCTGCCTAAAAGTATGCAACTGAAACTATTTTATTGCCTGCTTTTGGGCACCTTTTCAATTGATTTGGGGTTTCAATTGGTTTGGGGCCTCAGCCATTTCATTTTCGTTGATTTGTCATGAATCTAACCTAACAACAATTTGTCCCCCCCAAAGATAATAAATCTCAGTCAAAGTGCCCTAAGCCTGGGCTCAATCGACAACCCCAGCCCCCTTTTACCAAGACCCTTTTAAAAAGGCCTGATCAACTTGATTTGCATGCAAATTGCGTATAAATCCTTGAATTGTTGATGCAACACAGAAGCTCAAGCCCCAAGCCCTAGCCCCGCCATTTGCGGGAAGGTGGGCCCAGTAGCTTTGACTTGGCCAAACTCATTATTTGGTAATAGCCATCGTTGTCGTCGTTGTCGTCGCTGCAAATGTTTGCTTTTAATTAAAACAAAGAGAAACGCCAAGAGAAAACTGTTTGCTGTTTGCCAAGAAAAACTCTCCCGGCAGCTGTTCATTTGGGCAAATTGATTTTTTGCGCCAAGACTTTGAACAGCCGTCGTCGGACCTAATTGGCGGCTGGAGCGAGAGAGGCATCCTCCGCCAAGTGTGGCCACCAATTTGGCAAACTTTTTCTCAAAATTGCGCAAAATTAAAGAAGGGGGAAAGGTGCCTTCGCCTTCGGTTAACTGACAGCCAAGGATTTTCGTTTCTTTTGGGGTTCCAATCAAATTGAATTCCCCTTCTGATGATGGTGAGATGGTGATTCAACACTGTGGTTTCAACACTTTGACACCGCCACCAGAATCACTTCACAGAGAAACACATGCAACAATTTGCATTGTTGTGCCGCCAGGGTGACACTATTTTTAGAGTGCAATTAGAAGGGGATTTTGTCAACATTTTTGGGGTAGGAACGAATGCTCTAACTGTATAATTTTAAATATTTAATATATGTTTGGGGTGTGGAAAATATTATTATTTATAAAGATTGTTTACATAATTTCTTAATATTAGTAGAATAGAATAAATAAATGCAGAATAAATAAGTTAAAATATATAATAAATTAAAAAATTAATATAAAATCTGAATTTAGGCTTTAAACAGATTTTTAACTATAATAGAAACTGTAAATGAAGTAAATATAATATTTTAAAGCTACTTAAGATTTTAAAAATTAATTACTTTTAATTTTGGTGCATCTTGTAAACATATTTTTTATGAAAAAAATGTATATAATTTTATTTTATTAAAACTTCTATGCAAAACTTAGCATAGAATTCACTTTTCCCCAAGCTCAGGGTATTGCAAGACAAAGCTTAGGAAGTGCAGTTTGTCTGGGGACATACTTTCAATGGCAATGCCGAAAATAAAATAAAAATAAAAGAAAATAAAACACAAACAAAGAAAAGGTTGAGGTCACCCACTCACACGTACACATGCATATATATATTTTTTTTATAGAGGCGTTTTGTGAATTTGATTTTGCATTGATTTTCCGCTTGGTGGAAATTCGAGTGGCCGTCAGGTTCACTTCTTGGTTCTTTTAAGACCGCGTGACTCGACTCTAATTGCGCTCACACACACACACACACACACACACACACACACACACACACAGAGAATACACACCTCAGTGGGACACACAGGCATCGCATAAAAAACCGAAACCCGTAAAAGTTGGCAATTAAAAAATGCATTTTGCAATTATGCCAAGTGAATGGAACCAGAAGTACGGCGACAACTACAACAAGTTCAACAAGTGGGCGGGGCCAAAAGAGAGTCCTGTTTCCAATGGCAGCTTGTCTCCTTGTCCCCTATCCCCTCCATTCTCCCTTTATCTGCTTTCGAGTTTCCTTCTGCAAAGCAAATAAAGTGCAAAATGAGAATCGGCGTGGACTAGACACAGTGGAATGGCTTCGATATATAAAGGTGAAAGTAGGTCAAAAGTATTATTTAGAAGGATAAACATTTCAATGTAAATTAATAGAGCATTTTCTAGGCAAATAGTATACAAAATGGAAATTTTGTAACCGGTCTATTCCCATATTATTCAAGAAATAAAGTTAAAAACATAGGTTTGATCTTTTATATTCGAGTTATTTAATTATATTATTTATTTATGATTTTTATAAATAAAAAAACTTTATCTTTAGGAATTTCAAGCCAAAATTATATATAAATATATTTATAAAAAAATTTGAATACAGTTTCTAAACAATAACCAAATATTTTCTACCTAAAATATAAACCAGACTAGGTCGCAGTACCGGCTATGCCATTGTCGGGGCCATGCATACTTCATTGCTACCACTGTGCTCGAGCTGAGCCAGAGGCTGGATTAGCTCTTGTCGTGACCTCGTGGCCCGGTGGCATGCAAAATGCAACTAATTATGAATTTTAATTAATTCTGGCTTTTTATTTTGTTTGCTGCTGCTGCTGCTGTTGCTGCGAAGCCTGTGGGCAATAATAATAATAAAGAAACTTGGGGAATTGCAGCAAAAGTCTTCAGTAGTTTCTCCCTCCCTGTTGTTTCGCCTGAGACTTTCCACAGAATGCACGAAACGAGCTGGAAATAAAAGTAAAATGGGGGAAAAACAAGAACATTGAATGACTCTTTTGTGCCCGCAGCTCGGTTTCGGTTCAAGTGTCCCGCCTTTCACCGGTTTTCTGTCGTTTGATTGGGCCCGGGTTCATGGCATTTTGGTCAGGGGAGATTGCTTTTCTTTTGCTTTTGACCAGGCCAGAGCCAGACATTGGAAAGTGCCACGCGGACCTTGTGAAATGTTTCTATTTTTGCCAGCAATTCTTTCAAGGCATTCAAAGTCATGTAAATTCTTTAGAAAAACCAGAAGCAGCAGCAATAGTAGTAGTAGTTCGCTTCAGTGGTTTCCGCAGTAAATTCTTTGCATAAATTGCAAATTTCTGTCACTTACTGGGGAATGTATTTACTTTTAAGGGAATTTTTAATATGTTGTGAAATGTTTTATACATTATTTATTTATTATTTAAAATATATTAGGTGGGCTTGGCGGGGAGACTTCGTTTGGCTTCGGAATTTTATGGTTAAACTTGATTTATTTGCTTTAATTGGGACGTTTTTAGTGGAAACTTAATTAATAGATATATTTATCTTAAACAGAAATCACATTTCCATAAAGTATTTTATATATAATATATTTTAGGGCCTTATCTACTTTTGAAATGCATTTTCCCCATTTACATTTTCCAGCCTTTTTGTGTTGCTTTTGTTCTAATAAATTTTTCACATTTATTTGCTTTCATTTGGATGGCTCTCCCCAGTGTTTTAGTGCTATATTTATTTTATTGTTTTTGTTTGAGCCTGCAGAATAATCGCATAGTCTACTTCTGAGGGCAACAGCTGCAACTGACAGGGGATTCCACCACTGCTCCACACCGCCTCTTAACCCCCCTACTTAACCCCTGTTGTGCCTGAAAGCTTCATGAATTGAAATTTAATGCTCTCATGGTTTAAACTGCATTTTGTCCACCACGATTTATCTATATTTTTATTTGTTTTCCCATTGTTTTTTGCAAGATTCGATGGACAATTTGCGGTCGTTCTAAGCCAGATGCATTATTAAGCTCAATAAAAATGTCAGGGTTATCGCAGATATACTACACTGAGCCTAGGACAGGAGCAATTTAATTTATTTCTATTAATATTTATTAATATTTTAAATATATGTATTCCCATCTACCATGTTTTTGGTAAAGGAAATTAAAGCGAAAAGGCAATTGCTGGGCTATCGACACTCGCCGCGGGAGTCGTTAAATATTGCAACACAAAATTGCACTCAAAACCAGCAGGGTTTTTCCACCATTTTCCCAGGGTAGCACTCGGGCATATTGCTGGGGCTTTTCATTAACCAAAGTGAACTCAAGCGACACGAATCGAGAGACAAATGGACTCGCTTTTGATTCGATTGATTCGATTTGCTGGCCATTTTCATTATTCACCAGACACACGCATCGGATATGGGCATGCCACGCCCACTTGGGGCTCGGTGTCTCTTTGTGTTTGTATGTTTGTTTGTCCTCGAGTGTGTCAGGATATCAGTCCACAATTAAATTATTTACATGCAGATGGGACAATATATACGCCGACATGTGAACAACATTAATTCCATTCGATTATGCAAACCGAATTAGTTTCGGAGCAATGAAATTCGCAAGGAGAGAGATCATTTTGGATACTGATTGTGTGGGGTTTAAGCCTGAAAGGTTACTAAATTTACCATGAAATTTAGATTGTTGTTAACAAGAGTTGGAATTAAATTAAATTTAAATTCAATTGGGAACTAAACTATTATTTTTTAAAGAAAGCTATTTCCACTTTATGGAAGTTGTACTAAAAAAAAACATAAAATATTCATAATTCGATAAATGAATAAAATATGGGCGATAAATCGATGTTCTATTTGATATATGGGACCAATATATTCGGGAAAAGATACAATTAATTTTCTCAGCCTAATAAAAACTAACTCAGAATAGCTTTCTGAATTAAAATTAATGCTCTTTTCATTTACTTTTGTACGATAAATCATTATTTTTAATCTTACGATATTTTCGATATCAAATTGAAAACGATATATTTGTCTATATATTGGGCTTTTTGATATAAATACATCTCTCATAAATGTACATCTGCTGTAAACATTTCGAATCAACTGCTAATTGGTCTGGAAAATCTGATGGGCAAGTAAATTAAATCCGGTTTTAAAAAAGAATCATTTCCTGCATTTGATGAATGATTTTTGCCCACGCCTTGATGTTGCGGATTTTTCCCCAATTTAAGGTAAAACATTTCAAAGGGCTTCAGGTTCAGCTTCAGGTTCAGCTTCATCTTCTGCTGACTCTCACAGATACTCAAGTGGATGCTTGAAAAGTTGACTTGGTGCGTCGACAACCCCTGGAACTTGGCTTCGGATTCAATCTCCCAGCTGGGTGCCATCAGGACAACTTTATTTCCGATGCTTGTTGCTTCAAATCGGTGGTAGCTGGGAATATAGTACGTGTAAAGAGTATAAGGGATATGGTGGGGACCACAAATTATGCAAAATGGCCGCAGAAGGCAAACGTGAACTAGGAACTCTGGCCAAAAAATGGGAAAAAATTGTAGCTACAGTGAGACTCCTTCATAAATTGCATAAAAAAATTTACTTTGTGAGATTTAAATTAAATTTCCTTTGGATTTTTCAGAGAAAATAAATTAAATTCAATTTAAATTAATTTTGGGCAATTTTTTTTTTTGTAACGATAAAATTTTCTAAAAATTTTCTAATAAATTTATACAGTTATATATAAAACAAGAAAGGAAGCTAACTTCGGCACGCCGAAGTTTGTATACCCTTGCAGATTGGTTTTGATGTTTATATAATAGATTTAAATACTGAAAACACTCACAAAACAGAGTTTCATTACATTTTACCTATACTTATTATGTTTACAGTTTGACAGTTACAGTTTTACATTCCCAGCTTTACATTTTCTCTAAATTTACCGATCGTTTATATGGCAGCTGTATGATATAGTTGTCCGATTTTAATAAAATTTTTACCAAAATTCTAAAATAATAATAAAAGAAGCTCATTTCTAAAAGTAGATAAGAATATGTTGAAAAACAACGAAGTTATAATTTTTTTCCTATTCATTTTCCGATCGTTCCTATGGCAGCTATATCATATAGTCGTCTGATTTTCATAAAATTTTTATCAAAATTCTGAAATAATATAAAATGGTCATATCTAAAAAATTTTGCAAAAATGTTGAAAAACAGCAAAGTTATAATTATTTTTCTACAAATATATCGAACATTTGTATGGCAGCTATATGATATAGTCGTCCGATCCGGCCCGTTCCGACATATATAGCAGTGAGAGCATATAGAAGACTATATGCAGATTCAGATAGCTTTAAAACTGAGGGACTAGTTTGCGTAGAAACAGACAGACAGTCAGACAGACAGACAGACGGACAGACGGACATGGCTAGATCGACTCGGCTGTTGATGCTGATCAAGAATATATATACTTTATAGGGTCGGAAACGTCTCCTTCACTGCGTTGCAAACTTCTGACTGAAATTATAATACCCTGCAAGGGTATAAAAATATATATTTAGAAAAAAAATATTGCTATATTTTGGACTTTAAAACCCAACTAATTTAAAGTTTATATAAGTATTCTTCCTACTAAAGAACTCTGCCTTGTTCTTGTTATATTTTATTTATAATAGAGCTCTTAAGCTTAATGAAACCCTAATTAAATACTAAGCTATGCATCCTAATTGGCTTCAAGAGTGAAAGGCTGTTACACTTAAGGACTTGGCCCTGTACCTTGGCTTGTTTGCTAAGTTTGCCTCAAATTGAGGCGAGTGCTTAAATAATTAAGCAAGGAAAAAAGCGCAGCTCCATGAAATGTGGGGCTGGTAGACGTGGTCTTCGCCGTGGGAAAACAAACAAATAGGGGAAGAGAGAGAGAGAGAGGTCGGGAGGGGTAGAGAATACAGGGGAAGAAACGAAAGACCCCTCTCAACAATTGGCAAACATTTTTATTTTATTACATTTCCAGTTGCACTTCAGTTTCCTGTTGCTGTTTCGCTCACATTCCCCTGCGCACGTGCCAATCAGTCAGTAAATAGTTGGTAACCAGGGGTTCCGCATCCGGTTAATAAACAATAGGTGTCGCCCGCCCGACTGTCTCCGGGCTCCCCCTTTTATTTTCCCGGATTTCCATGGCTGTTTTGTCATTTTTTCTCCGCCGAAGACTCGGAGACTTTTGGGATTCGGTTACGTTTACCGCTGGCTGTTGTTATGCTGGGCTTGTTGTGGGTGGGCGGTTCGGCTTGGGTGGCTCGTGTTTATGGCAAAATCAATGCAAACCGCGTCTAAAAATAGGCAACTGGCCAAAATGCGTCACGGCCGAAAAGCCCTAGGGCGACCTAATTAAATCGCTCGACAATTGATGGTTTGGCCCATCGACAAGCGAGCGGTGATTGAGCGACGGCTGCCTGATTGACCGACCTTGCACTGGAAGAAATATTTTAAAAATTAAATAAAAAGAGGCTTAGATGTATATGATTTTGTTTATTAAAAAAGTTTGAATAAGGCTAACATTTGGCATTGTTTTTAGTTTTTTTCTTATAAAAACCAATATAATGTAATATTTTTATACATACTATTTAAGATTTCTATTCATTTAAAGTTTTCCCGGTGTAAATTAAGTCGTCTACATGGAATTCGTGTTGAAATCAATTAACTGACGTCACCGGACGAGGGGGCTGCAAAGGGAGCCTGTCCCTAGGGGGAGGTAGTGCAGAGCAACTACAAAATTCATTGCATACTTTTCGGCAAGCAGATTGCGCCTCACAAGTCCCCCCTCACCACCCGCCCCCCACCAAAAAAAAAAGGGGGTGAGGGAGGAAGGACACACAGGCTCTGTTGTTTTCCAGCACCCACGACCCCTGGTTTCCCGCCAGGCAGCGGCAACTTTATCAACATTATGGATGACTGACTGACTTACTTTTCTGTTCCAACTTGGACAAGGTTAAACCTTAAAATTGTTTGTTTGTTTTTTTCTGCTGTTTCTTTGGGAATGAGTATACATATGTGTGTGTTTGTGGGAATGTGTTTCTGCGAAAATGATTGCGTTTGCCTTGTGCTTCGGATTATTTACAATGGCCCAACTTTAAGAAAGCAATCTAGTTAAGTTAAGGTATTAACTTTTAACTTTTGGGTGTGAAACTTGTTTGATAAGGCAAAATATTGATGTTGTTTTTGAATACTTTATAGGTTTATTTTAGATTCTGTGAGATTTTGATAGGGAAAAAGGCTGAAAAAATATTTAACAAAAAGGAATATGAAATATAAGGATTTACATGTATAAAAATATATCGAAAATATCATCATACTTATAATAAATTTCAAAATTTCGAAAAATATCCATTTTATCGAAAAAATATTTACAAATAAATATCTATATTATTCTATAATTATATTAATCCCATATTGAGACAGAAATCAAGTCTATATAACGCAAAAATATCGATACCGATAAATATATCGATTTAATATTGATTTTTGTGTCCGATATCGATATGCTGGCTTCTGGCTTCTATCAGAAATCGTTCTTCAATTATATTGATTCCAAATATCAAACAAAGATTAAGCCCATATGTTCTTCATGTATCCATATATCTTTACGTTAAAACATCTATTTAAGTATCGACTTTCATGCCAAATATCTATACAATATCGATATATCCATATTTTTTATATATTTTCTTATAATCATATTTTCTTAAAATCAAATCGAAGCTTTCGGCATGTCATTAAACTATTACTAAATATTATTTCATTAATTATCCTGTGAAATATATGTATATTTTTAAGCTTGCTACGTAAACACTGACAAAAATCTGCATAAAGAAACCCAATTATATTGGATAAACCTTAGGATCAATAGCCGCAAGGCTTAGCCTCTTGTCACCTTTTGTTGCAACCTTAGAGCTCTGAAATTTCTCCTTTCCTCCCTTTCTTGGCTTGGGTTTTAATAGGTGACTTTTACCGTTGGCCCTATTGAAGCCAAAAATAAAACATGGCGTTGCCTTTTGGTGTTTATTGTTGCCATTGTTGGTTGGTTCGTTCCTGATGGCTGATGGCTGTCGAACAAGCCAGAGAAGCGGCAGAGGCAGAAGCGGAAACAGGCATCGTCATAAATATGTAAGCAGTGCAGAGTGGGTGTGTGTGTGTGCCAGTGTGTGTGACCTTCGCGTGTCGCGGCAACATTTTCAACATTTTCCGCATGCAGAAATACAACAACGGCCAAATTGAAGAATTTTTCCCTGCGTTCTGTTTGCTTTTTTTCTCCGTGCTTCTCCTGCGCTTTCCCTTCATTTTTTTTTATCCATGTTGCATGTTCTCACAGCTCTGACCTCTGACCCCGATGATTTATTAGTCCATGCTTTGGCTCGGTCCTACAAGGGACACAAACTGCAGGAATATTACCAGGGCCTCCAAAATAAAGAAGAACATCTAAAGAAAATGAAGTGATAACTTGAGATCGTTTTCGGTTTTAATAACCTTACCCCAGCCAAGGATTGCAGGTTGAGTTGATATATTCCACAGACATCAAAATAGATGGGATCCTGCATAATTTGCAGGACAAACTCCTCGATCTGACTTCTTTCCGCTGGCGATTGTCCAGGTCGATCCTTAAGCTGTGCCTGCAGGTACTTGGCCTAGAAAGAATATGAATAGAAACATAAAAAAACAAAACTTTCAAGTTAATAGAAGTTTTTCTCACCTTTTCCACACATCGCTGGCAGGCAGCACACAGGGTCCAGATCTTGACCAGCGTTGGCAGAACAATGTACACGGCCTGGGCAAAGACATACCAACTGGCGGAAATTACCTCAATATATTCCACCATAAAGTAAACGTTGCAAGCTATGAGGCAGTCGCCCAGACACAGGACATTCAGCAGGAGGAGCGAGAGGCCATAGAGCTGGGACAGCGATCGCGTCACCTTGGCCCAATGAGCATAGTCGCATCTCAGCGATTGATAGTCCAGGGGTCGTCCTCTGCCGGCCATTTTTTTAAGCAACTGCTCCAGCTGAAAGTCCAGGCGATCCACCAGGAGTAGCATTTGCAGATAACGAGCACGTACCGCCTGGTTGCTGTACACCACCCGCAGGCACTCGAGTAGCAGTTCCAGGCGGTTCCAGCACAAACAGATATTTACACCCACAATGTAGCCATTCAGCAGTAGTTCCACGGCCAGTTGCCTGTATATGAACGGTGTGATCCTAACCGGAGGCAGTTGCTCCAACAGGCGGCGATTACGCTGACACTCGACCAGGGCCATGCCAGCGATCAGTGCATGAACCAGTTTGTAGCCCACACTGACGCCCTGGACCGTATTGGCGAACAGGAACGAAGTGCCTGGTGTGACATGCTCGTCCCCAAATTCTCCCTTGAAGTAACTCCGAATTTGTCCCGCCAGCTCGATCATTATGAGGAGCAGCCAACTGCTGCCCAGCAGTCGACCCAGGCGGGAGCCGCTCCAGCCGCAGGTCAGGCCCATGAGCTGGAAGTAGCCCGTCAGGCAGCGTTCCAACCACAGAGACATTGGGCCACAAACTGTGAGCTAACCCTGTTACCTAGTTCTAAAAAAGTTCACATGAGGGATTTATCTATCAATTAATCCAAGTGCCCAAGGGGGTAGAGCTTATCAGGGGCATCTTCGGGCAAGGAGCAGGGGAAATAGGGTATATCTTATGGAAGAAGTGTTTATTGTATAACACTTGTATCGGAAATTTGTTAGATAAAGCATTGCCATTTTACATGATATAATTATATAATTGTATCATGATATTTATGCCACTTTTTTTTTTAGTAATTGTAAGTTTAAATTTTGGGTTTTGCGTTGTTTTAATCAAAACTGTTATACGTGGTATAATAAAGTTCTAAGTCAGTTGATTTATAACTTGTTATGCCACTTTTAATATATTTTCTAACTGTTATACACATCGAAATTATTTATTATTTTTTAATTTTATTGTATAACCTGTTCTACAAACTGTTGCAAACTTTTTTATAGAGTTTGTTATACAATTTATATATACAATCTATACTTTACTTTACTTTCTGCTCTTCTTTACAGTGCTCACTGTACTCAGTTCGACGATCAAGTACAACGAATACGCCACGGACAAGGGCAACAATGTGAGCATACCTTGCATAGCCCAGGGCAACATCATGTGGGTGAAAGAGCACGGCAACAACAGCACAATAGTTCAGGTGAGTGTCAGAGTCTCTTTCCGCTTTCTCTAGTCACTCGTTATTCTTACACGCTACTCGTTACTTACATAACTTGCAATTAATTCCCGATTATGCCACAAAGACTGGTCGTGTCTTGGTTCTGCGCAATGTAAGCCCCTCGGATGGTGGCATCTACGTGTGCTTCGCCTCGCTGCCCCGGATATCGTCAACAGCAGCCGCCACACCTACAACTGCAATTGCAGCTGCGAGCAATCCAGCGACATCAGCAACTACCTCACCACAGCAAGCCCAGGATCGGCCCGCGGAGGATGAGGGGACAGGGGAATCCCCCAAGGACTCGGAGCAGGCCGAACAGGAGGAAGTGGAATATCTGGCTTATCAGCGGACTAAGCTCACCGTTCGCACGGTGCCTGGCCCGGTGACACAACTGTACTTCAAGGCCTCCACCATTTTGGGCTTTCTCATCTGGCGCTTCAACAAGACACAATCCGGTGGCTATCCCGTGCGCAGCTTCACGGCCGAGTTTCGGAATGTTTCGTACAGCACGCCGCCGGCGAATGCAAGCTTCGAGCACGCTTGGAGCCGGATGGATCCCATCAACATAGCCCCCAATGTGGTGAGTGTTTTATAAAATATTAAAGAAATAAAATAAAAAATATAAAATTATATTTATTTTCCAGCGCCAAATGGAGGTCTATCGCCTGGCACCAAACACCACCTATGAGTTTCGGATATGGGCCAACAACGAGCTGGGCAGCGGCGAGGTGGTCACCACCAATGTGACCACTCTGCCGGAAACCAAGGAGGAGGGTAAGTACTACCGGTTCACGGTTCAACCCATTAACTCTTAGCTAGGCTCCGTTTAGGCTAGACTTACTTAGGCTAGGTCTTAACCAGGCTAGACTATCAATATGTCGTTCTATCTATTTGGGTAACTTTGATTTGACTCCTAAATGTGTAAACTGTAATTCTAAACGGTAGTTAATCAGTCATTTCCAATTGGTGTCGACCTCTATTCCGAAGTCTGGCGGACAGAGCTGCAACAGAGTCTTGGATGAATGGGATATATGGTATATATTTTAGGGATCGTAATACTTATTATTTACGGTACCTAATATATAATATATCTTGTGAAGTTGAAGACTAGTTGCAGCTGTGATCGTGGCTTTAACTCTAGTTACTTGATTACAAATTACGTATACGTACATATATAGCTTATTGTTTAGTAAGTTCGACTTGTAATTTTGTTAATTTTTGTTGTCCATCTGTATCTCTCTCCCCTCTCTCTTTATCTCTTTCTCTCTCCCGCTCTCGCTGTCCCTCTGTGAATGTGTGTGTGTGTATCTCTGTCCAGATCTCATACGCCTTATAAAACCCGACTTAGACAATTTCGATCCACGCATTTGGATAGTGGCCGTCAGCATAGTGCTCGGGACCCTTGTGATATTAGCGATTGGACTCTGCATTGTGCTCTCCAAGGAGTGCTATCAGTCAGCGCAAATGGGTACAGACTAAGTCGATAAACTCAAATAAGAAAACTCCAAAAAATAACTTAAAAGAAAACTCGAAAAAAAAACTCAATTCCCCGAGATAAAACCTATCCAGCAATTATCAGCAGCAATTCTCACCTGTTTTTTGGCTTTTCTTGGTTTCCTAAGTTGACTCGCTTACCATATTTACCTGCATCGTTAATTAATTAATTAATGTTGTGTCTATATATTGATGTTGTTGCTGTTGTTATTGCTATATCCTTGTTGCCGCTGCTACATGTCGTTGTTATAAATATTTAAGTTGAGTTTTAACCGCATTTTGGTTGTTATGTTCGCCTCCAGAGAGTTGCGGCAATGAGATGTTTGCTTTGTCGTTGGATGTTGTTTATATTTAAGCCATAAACTATATATACTAAATACTATATACAGATGTATGTGTGTACATAGCCCTATGAACTGTAAATACAATCACAAAAAAGGAAAAAAAAGCGAATGCATACAACAAAGTATGCTCTTTGATATGAAAAAGCTTTTAGAGCGGTCAAATATTGATTCAATAAATGGCCTTAGACAAATTGTTTCCATTTTTTGAATCCAGCTTACCTACCAGTTTATATAACGCTGTATTTTGAACAATATTTTCAAGTGAAATCATAGAGAGTTCTTAGTTTTTATAGGTAGAAAATCGCTCACTAAACTGCCCTAGGCAGTATTAAATTTTATATAAAAAAAAGCAGCATAAACTAAATATTTAGATTTGCTTGATTACATTTATTGTGAAATTTCAGCTGAACAAAAATCACTGCAAGCCTCAGGACATTTTCTGGTGATTTATTCATTTAAATTCAATCAAATTAAAGCTCTCTAAAAAACTCGTAGACTCCAAAAAGTAATTAAAAAAAACCCAATTTAGACCAAAAGGAGAAAAGCTCTAAGCACTTTAACTGTGATAGCCAGCACTATGTAGTAGCCAAGATCAATCAATGAAATCGAAATCAAAGTAAACCTAAACCGTCTCTAGAGGTCTTACAACAGTTTTAAGAACGTACCAAAACCCTATATAAATAAACCATAAATAAACTAGATGCTAAATATATAAATATTGTAAAACGCCTAGACCACAAGGAAATGCTTTATTAATGTTGTAATCGTGTATGTTGTAACTTAATGAATATTATTGTGTTATTTGCATTTGCAACGATTAAAGCCCCAAAAGAGCACGAATATTAAACAAGAAAAGAAAACCCAAACCAAAGAAGAGTTATAATGTTTCGTTTAATTTAGCTTTCAACACAAACACACTCACACACACTAGAGCTTGGATTTCCATAGAAAATGACACAGATATACATATAAATACATAGACATATGTACACTATATACACTCTATACACACACACACACACACACTTATATTTAGCGAGAAAAATTTGTTGCTTGCATTACGCATACGCCCCGTGCGACGCTTGGCGGCTTGAAGTGATGCCTTTATTTTTGAGTGTCACTTGGCTGAAGCGCCGCCTGTAAATATTTGTGTTAAACTGTTGCACACACACACACACACAGACACACCACACAAACACACCCACACTTGAATACAAACAATAAAATCCCCTAGAAAAGCAGAGGTAAAGTACAGAACAATTATTAAAAATATCTCTAATGCGTGTATTTTTATTCTCTCTCTCTCGTCCTCTTTTTCTCTCTATCTATCCAACTTTTCTATACTCTCTTTCTCTCTCTATTTTTTATAATTCCCAACCAATTCTAAAACTCCCTACTTGTGGCCTGAAGAACTGCAAGATGGTTGGGACAGCATTGAGCTTATACCGAATATAATACTTAATCCCGGTTTCAGCGAGTCGGATGGGGGTGCTGGTGGCGACGAGGCGGGCGAGGATGCCGACGACGAGGAGCTGGACGATGGCGAGGGTGAGGACAATGTGCCCTTGTCCTTTCCGCGCACCATTATTTTCGGTACTCAGCACCATCGCCAGCCTCGCTCGCATCTTCATCCCCAGCAGCAGCAGCAGCAGCAGCAGCCGCGTCAGCAGCAGCAACAACAGCAGCCACGACAGCAGCATCTTCACCATCACCTGCAGCCCTTCCACCTGCAGGTTCAGAGCCATCACCATCATCACCATAGGCGCCATGATGATGACGACGACGAGGACTATGAGGAGGAGCATGAGCCCACCATGGAGCGGTTCAAGCGCAAGGTCTCGGTCTTCTTCACCGGCCCCACCATCAAGCGCATTTGAGAGTACAAACACTGGACACACCTAGGTTGTTGTTGATGGGACAACATGGAGCTTATAGATCAACGCTACTAAGTTTTTCCTTCGGTTTCCGGTCCGTTACTGCGCTTGGAGAAATGAAACTTACCCAAAGGCCTAGTAATAACAAGATGCATAACGTTTATATATTTCTGAAAGCGTTAAATTTATGCGACCGTTACTCATCTTGTTACTATACACATTTTTCCGTATTAGTTTCCCGAAATTCCCCAAGAAGCTATAAAACTATACCCTACCAATAGTTCTTATGACAGCTTTCGATAGTTTTTTGGGCCATATTAGCCTCAGCAAAAGGTTGCCAACCCTCTATGATTTATTGCTCATCTCGTTGCTTCTCCCAGATCACAAACTACATATAAATGTGGTATATATACACGTATTATAAATATTAACAAAAACAAATATATTGCTGTGATACAAATTCAATTGAACGGACATTGTAAGGATTTACCATAAAGGACACACCACTCGAGTTATTATCTAACCATCAAGAACTTGCTGAAGACGAGGACGAGGACGAAGAGAATTCAATTGAATTATTGCCTAGCTAAAAAACAAAAAACGCTATCTGAGTTACAGCAATTGGATTACTCAGATCCAGATATAGACGACAGACAGAGTATAGCGGAAAAGTTTGCTTAGAGCCACAATTGCAGCAGAACATGCAGCGAGGTCTGTTACTGAAGAAGAAACCCCAAGAAAATACTTCACTTTGTCCGTATATATCAATGAAACTCTATAAATTGAAATCAGAAAATGATATATTAACTTCCGTAACGGACCTCCCATAGCCCAGAACCTCGGCTATAGCGTTCCAACTTGTTTTGATTTCGGTTCAGTTGAAAGGAATTAACAAACTGTGAAACAATTTTATAATTGAGCAAATATTTTGCACTGTAGAGCGCACCAAACGATCTATATATATACATACTATATATAAATATATATATTAAAATATACTTGAAACCAAAACAAAGTTTGATAAACATTTTAAATAAACGGCAAAATGCCTTGTGCTTTAGTTCGGCCTCAAAGCTAATTAAATTGATAGTATGATTAACTAACGATATACATATAAATATATATATAGAAATATATAGACAGATAGTTCAAGTAGCTGGGAAACCATCAAATATTCGAATGAAAACCAAACAAAAACTGCTTCCACTCACTGATAACTAAAACTAAAACAAAACAAAATCGAAACAATGAAATTGTTATAAAAAAAAGAAATCAAAACTAATTTTAAACAAGCGAAAATTGTGTATATACCGACGCAAAACCATTAAGAACTATACTCGTACGCATGTGAGGGATGTACATAAGAGTGGGTATCTTAAGAAAGACTGTAGCTAACTTTTAAGACACTTTGGCCTGCGCTTTTACCAATTTTTTGGGGCCCCGCTTGGCACCCACCTTATTTCCTTTGCATCGATCTGCTAAAGCTAACCGAAAACCACAAACATATAGAGGATACCAATAATTCTAACAATTCGGAATGTGCACTTAACTAAACGAGTAAAAAAAATATGGAAAAAAACACACACACATTAAATAGAACGAAATTGAACAATTCTCGCCAAGGTCCTGGATCCTAAACTCTTGGCTGTATATTTCTAGTTGTTATTGCTTCGGGTTGAGGTTTATTGTTATTGTGTTATTGCCTCCCAATCGCCCCTATGAAATTCTTTTCCGATCTAAAGCAATGCAATCGACACATAAGAAACATCAAATAAAAACAGACACACAGGCAACAATAAAATAAATCTAAGTTTACAAAACCAATTCAAAATTATTTGTTTTATTTAAGGGATTAGTATTACAAAAAAACAATTATGACTTACTTTGTTTTATATTATTAATTTAATTACCAGAATTTATAAAAAAAAACAAATAAATTAAAGCGGAAAACAAAGGAAAATGTTGACAAATGAAATCAAATATTTCCAGGAACATGTTCCGCAACACACAAAGAGAGACAGTAACCGGCACCTAACAAAGGTAGTGGAGTAAAATCCGTTTTCGGACACATAGTAGACCTTTTACTTTAGAATAAGCCTCCCTTGACACTCCCCCCCATACAACAAGAAACTCCCACTGTATGTACGTTTGGGCCCTCTGTCAAAGAGAGTCGTCAGCGTTTATTTGCGAGTTGAATTTTGCGATCTGCTCGTTACAAGTTTGCTACAAAAAGGCCAATTCGGTTTGAACTTAGGGACTACGGGTTGCTCCACAGGAAGCGTCGTTGTGTTGTGTGTTTGGTGTTGACTTGGCGGCTGGTTGGGCCATCAGTGCTCGGCGTGTGTCCTATTCGTAGTCCTTGTTGTCCTTGTTGTTCCACGCCTGGTGGACGCCATGGTAGCTGCTCTGCTTCTGGGCGGGAGCGTTGCGACCGAAGGGGCTCTTGGGGTTCACCTGCAGGATGTAGTCACCCTCCAGATCGTGGGCGGTATCGATGCCCATGTAGGCGCGCTTGCCAAAGCCATCGTTCTGCTTGTACTGCTGCAGGGAGTTGGCGGGGACGGCGGGGAAGCTGCGCTCATTGCCGGGACGCACCGACTCGGCGAAGTAGCGGGTGGCACGCATGGCGGCCTCCACGACATTGCTGGCACCGGGAACACCGGTCGAGGGTCCGTTGGGGTAGAAGTCAACATCGCCGGAACGGATGGGGGTGCCCATGCCGTAGACGGAGGTGTGGATGGCATCGACGAACTCGGCATCACCGCGGGCCAGACCGGTCAGGGTGTTGCGGCTCTTGGCCACAATGCTGGAGGGGTCCAAACCAGTGACGCGACGCAGCTTTTGGCCGGTCAGGCGGGTGAACTCCTGGGCAGCGGCTCCGGCAACGTGGGCGCCCACATTCTGGCCAATCAGGTGGATGGTCTCGAAGGGCATGTCCAGTTCATTAACCATCTGCACGATCCACTTGCCGATCTTGGCGCCGGTCTTCTCGATGTCGAGCATGGCGTAACGCTTGTAGGTGGTCAGGGTGGAGCCGAGGTCAATAACCTAAAGATGACAAGGATTAAAAGGGTTGTTCGGTGGGAGGGAATGAAACTAACTAGTTTTCACTCACAATGATATCGCCGCTCTGGGTCTTGCCGTTCTTGGCCTCCTCGCTGGAGTCCTCCTCGCTGCTGGTGCGCTGGTTCTTCTTGTCGTTGCTGTCCTCGTAGTCCTGCCCGGCCTTGGCCTGCTGGCGCTGCTGCTGGAGGTTGTAGCGCTGCATGTAAGCCTGGACCAGCTTGCGGGTGGCCTTCTGGACGGTCTCGGTGTTCTGGGGCAGGCCGGTCACAATGATGGTCACCTCATCGTCGCCAAAGTTCTGCTTCTGCTTCAGGCGCTGGATCATCTCGTTCAGGGGGGCGACGGTCTTCTGGCCATTGGGCTTGGGCACATAAACCTGGATGTTGCTGGGCACAAAGTTGGGCTCCACATTGTGGTGGATCTGGGACAGGTGGTCTGAATGGGAAATAGAGTTTATATATTGGCTTAGGAAACTTCCTTCAAAAAAGGACTCTCAAAAAATACTCACAAACTTGCTGCACCAGCTCAGCGCCACTCTCCAGGCTCATGTTCTCCAGACGCTCCATGGTCAGATCATCGACGGCCGGGATGTTCTCCAGCTGGGAGCCGGACAGCCACTGGGAGGGCTTCAGGGCCTGGTTGACGGAGTTGTCCATGCGGTTATTGGGCTTGGCCATGGCGGCGACCGCCAGGCAAGCCAGAAGGCTCAGAATTCTCATGGGGTTCATGGTTCGGTGTCCGGGGATGCGACTTCAACACAGAGCGAGTTGAACTGGCTTTTCCGTTGTCCAGCGGCGTCTTATATAGCCGATCGATTCCATATTGCAGTGTTGTGCCCTTCCATGTCACTTTGTTTCGCTGCTTCAGGTGGTTTTTGTTTCTGGGTGCGGAGGAGGAGGAGGGGGGCCGAGAGTGCTGTGTGGGCACACGAGCTCACCTGACTTACCTGACCCGGGCCGATGATGACCCAGCACCTGATAATGTTAGTTTGTTGCAAAACTAATGCAACTTTGTAGCTCAGCGTTGGAACAAATTCATTCTACTTTTCTTGTTTTAGTTAGTCATGCAATTAAATTAATTTTAAATTTAGGAAATAAATATTTATATATATTTTTAAGTTTATTGTGAGTCTGTTGTCGTGACGCAAAAATGCTTCTGGATTTGAACTTAGAGATGAGCTTAGGAGAAAATTCTAGAAACTTAAATAAATAAATATATTACAAATAAATCTCTAGATGTCTATTAAATAAAAAAATGATTAATTATTAAAATAAATTAGATAAACAAAAATATTAGGATACCGATAAAAATCTTCAGCAATTTCTGAGGCCTTCTTGGATATTTCTAAAATATTAATATAATGTTCCTGGTAAATATAAATGTATTTAATTTTTTTCTTGTAAAATATTTCTTTAATTTTTAATGTCTTACTTAATTTCCCTAATTAAGATTTAAACAAATATTTGCCATCTCAATTTCAGGGCCATTTAAGGTTATTTTCAGGGCCGTTCATTGATTCCAGATCTTAGTGATTAGAAAAGCCTCGAATGTTTTTAGTTCCCAGGGAAGATAATGAAAGATTATAAATTATAACATTGTAGTATGGGACTTTAGAAGGGACTTGCAAAAGGTTCCATCAAAGGTTAAATATTGGCTATTATTAATCAATTTAATATATTAATTTCTTTAATATAATTTTAGCAATTCAAGACTTTCTTCCTAAAGGCCTATACGTTCCACAAGCTTTATTCCCACAGGAAATTTGAGCTTGGCGTTTTTTTGTTTTTAATTTATTTTAGCTTTTTTTTTTAATTTCTTAACGATTGCGTTATTTGGAGACTGAAATCTGAAACTGCTAAACAAGTTTAAAGAAAAGAAAAGTTTATGTCTTCAGTAAGCATTTTGTTGATATAAGCTTTAAATAATATAAACAAACAGTTCAAATTCTTATTTATTATTGATTTAGGACTTGATATAATTTTTTTATTTATTGATATTTTTCTTTAATTAAATATAGTTTAAACTGCGATATACTTATGTTTTTATATTATTATATTAAGAATTTTATTTAAGAATGCGTAAAATCTATAATTTAGGTTTTTTATCAGTGTTCATTTGTATTATCTATTTATAAATTAATAAATTCATGAACTAATAATTAAACAAACAAAAAATTAATAATTAATCAAAATAATTAATAATAATTAATCAAAATTATACATTTTTATTTTTGTTTAATAATTAAGCTATAAATTTATTTGTTATAATAAATAAAATTAAATAAAAATTGAATATTTAATTAATTAATTAATTAAATTAAATAAATAAATAAATATAATTTATTTATTCTGCCACTTATCCATTACCTTACTAATTAATATATTTGTTACTTATTTGTTTATGTACTTGTTTAGTTATTTAATTGTTTATTTATTTCAAAATTGATTTGTTTATTAATTATGTTATTTATTTGTTTATTTATTATTTCTTTCAAATCCCTAAAGAAGTACAACAAAATAATAATTCATAATTGATTAATATATATTGTAAATATATTAATCTTAAATTTATAACTCCCCCAAGACACATTCCCAAGGTAATTCAGATCACTTTCGATCACTGGAACATTTGCTCTCTGTTTCCCCATTAAGAAAATAATTAAGAAAAAATATATATGTATTTTACTAAATTGAAAGTTCAACAGCTTGAACTCATCATGAGTTTAGTTCGTGCTTCATTTCCAAACACCCTCCCCTGCCTGCAATCCCCCTGCCCAATTATGTAAGGGCCAAGAAGTTATTGACCAGATTGCGTTAACAATAAACAGAATATTATGGAGGCTGAAGAAACGAAAAGTTATAATGAACAGAAATTACAAAACTCATCAAGAAGTCTTGCAAAAGCCCTGACATGGCGAATATGGATTACTGCTGATCCGATAGATAGGGGGGCCCGGAGGAGACGGGGCACCGGGAGAGCCGGTAGACGGGAGCCGTATCAATCGCTTCCGCCGGACCCGGCGCGTGCACAATCCGCTGACTCGGATCGCCGATCGGGTATATAAGCCCTGTGATTGGAGGCAATCGGCATGCAGTACAACTTGGTACGGTGTCTGAAGTAGTCGAACCAGGAACCAACCGGAACTCACCATGAACCCCCTGCGCACTCTTTGCGTGCTGGCCTGCCTTTTGGCGGCCACCGTGGCCAATCCCCAGGCCGGAAGCCATCGTCGCTCCAACTCGCTGGAGAACGTGGACCAGCCCAGCAACTGGGTCAATCCCCGGGAGATCGAGCAGCTGCCCTCGCTGCAGCAGGTCAACCTGAAGAAGCTCCAGGAGATGAGCCTTGAGGAGGGCGCCACTCTGCTGGACAAGCTCTGTAAGTATCTGGTTAAGAGACTCCTTAAAAAGACCCTTATTAACTCTTTTGGACTCTCGTAATCTCCTTTAGACCACCTGTCCCAGTTCAACCATGTCTTCAAGCCTGATTACACCCCGGAGCCCAGCCAGGTCAAGGGTTACATTGTCGGCGAGCGCGGCCAGAAGATCGAGTTCAACCTAAACACCCTTGTCCAGACTGTGAAGCGCCAGCAGAGGTTCGGCGATGATGAGGTGACCATTTTCATCCAGGGCCTGCCCGAGAACGACTCCCAGGTGCAGAAGGCCACCCGCAAGTTGGTCAATGCCTACCAGCAGCGCTACAACCTCCAGCCCTACCCCACCACCGACGTCGATTACTCCAGCGAGGAACAGCGCCAGCGCGGCAGCAGCGAGGAGCAGCAGTCCCGCCAGCAGCGCCGTCGCCAGGGTGATGACAAGGAGGACACCAAGACCGGAGACCTGATCGTCATCCAGCTGGGCAATGCCCTCGAGGACTTTGAGCAGTACGCCACTTTGAACATCGAGCGCATCGGCGAGATCATTGGCAACCGCCTCGTGGAGCTGACCAACACCGTTAACGTGCCCCAGGAGATCATCCACCTGATCGGCTCCGGACCCGCTGCCCATGTGGCCGGCGTTGCTGGTCGCCAGTTCACCCGCCAGACCGGACACAAGCTGCGCCGCATCACCGCCCTGGACCCCTCCAAGATCTACGGCAAGCCTGAGGACCAGCTGACCGGCCTTGCCCGCGGCGATGCCGACTTTGTCGATGCCATCCACACCTCCGCCTACGGCATGGGCACTAGCCAGCGCCTGGCCAATGTTGACTTCTTCCCCAACGGACCCTCGACCGGTGTTCCCGGTGCCGACAATGTTGTGGAGGCCTCTATGCGCGCCACCCGCTACTTTGCCGAGTCGGTGCGTCCCGGCAATGAGCGCAACTTCCCCGCCGTGGCCGCCAGCTCCTACCAGGAGTACAAGCAGAACAAGGGCTATGGCAAGCGTGCCTACATGGGCATTGCCACCGACTACGATCTGCAGGGCGACTACATGCTCCAGGTGAACTCGAAGAGCCCTTTCGGACGCAGCACACCCGCCCAGACCCAGGCCGGCTATCATGCCGTCCACCAGCCTTGGCGCCAGTCCGCCCAGGGAGCCGCTTCCCGCCGCCAGTAGGTCTTTCTCCTTCTCACCAAGGAGCAGGGCTCCTCCAGAGGCTCCAGATCCAGACCCAGATCGCACACCCCTCATGCGAGCGACACCCAACAGCCCATCCCATCATCAAGGTCGAGCGATGAGCTCACATTACCATCCAGAATATCTCTAGATTACGCTTCGTTTTTTACGTCAAAATAAAAAACCATTGCATATTTTAAATACTTTTTCGGAAGAGTTTGGATTACATAATATGTTTATTTGATAAAAAAAGCATATTATCCTTTATGGTATATAGCATACAGACGACATCGGCACACAACCAGCACATATATATATATATATATATATGGCGGGGGGAGTGGGGCCTCCGAGGGGCTACAGACAATATTTCGCTTACTCGCTGAGTTGGCAGGCGCAAAAAAATTGGGTTGAGATATCACTAGGCTTAAATAAGAGTAATTAACGTAGAATTTCAACTCCTCCAACTTCCTCCTTCTCCTCCTCCTCCTCCTCGTGGGATTCAACCTCAGCGGAACTAATCACAAATTGGAAAAAAAAACACATTTACAACATGGTAAAGGTAAGGGTAATGGTGATGGTAATGGAAATGGTTTTGGGTAGGCAATGGGTTCGTGGTTTTATCAGTCTAGTCCCGGCAGGGCTGATCCGAGGGCGACCAGGTGCACATCCCGCCGACTCCATCGTAGGTGAGTCCCTTGGGACATGTGTACTCCCAACCCACGATACCGCCGGTCTCCTCGAAACGGGCGCAGGATATAAACTTCCGGCAGTTGAGGGGATGCGGAAAGTTGCCCTGCGCCCGGCACTCGATGATGCCTCGTCCATGGACAATGACCTTGGGATCACTCTTCGCGGGTCCAATGCTACCGCTTCGCCGTCGCTGTGCCACCTGATTTACCTGTACCTGTCCCGGACTCTCGTCCAGAAGCTGGCTGCTCGAGGTGGCGGTGAGTACGGCTGACTTGCTGGGCGGACGACTATACACCTCGATGTACTTGTGCGGCCGGCGGCGGCTTTGCTGGCGACGCGACAGCGGTGGAGCCGAGTGTCCTGGCAGTGTGGATGATGACGATAACCAGGCTGCGGGCGTGCTACTCGCTGGCGTGGCTGTCGTGGACTGTGGTCGTCTGGGACGTGGTATCAGCTGGCGACCTGCAAGCACACATTTTGTAAAAATCTCTAAAGGATTTGCATGTCCAAAACTTACGAATGCCTTGGCTGATGGCTGGAAGGACTGGCTGTGGTGCATGAGTCGTGTTCGCCGGGCTGAACGAGGGCAGCTCATAGTCCTCGCGGGATCGCACCTGCTCGGGTATCTGGTTGAAGCGGCTCGTATGGATGCTTGACTTGGCCACCTGGTCCTCGTCGTCGTCGCTCAGATAGAGGCTGGTGGTGGTCTCCAGGGCGGAGGAGCTGGGCAGGAAGGTGGTGCGAGCCGAAGGCGGTGTGGTGGATATCAGAGTCAGGCGGCGCTTGAACAAGGGATTCTGGGTGCGTGGCACTTCGGTGGCTTTAAACAAAATATAAAAATTACTAAATTAAGTCTTCATTTTAATTAAAGGTTAAGTTAAATATTATATTATAAAATTATACATTTTTTTCTTTATTTTTAATTGTTTTCATAATATAACCCCCTATAAAATGTTGTTTTGTAAAAAAAAATTTTATAATAATATTATATAAATTATAAAATATTTTTCTACATTTTAAATTCATCAAACTAAAACTAATAAGAATGGAATCCTTTTTTGACTTTGTTATAATTGATTTCATTATTCCCCTAGGATTTTTAAAAATTAATAATTATAAATATATTATCTCATAATTTCTGTGCTGGTTTCTTTCAGTGCACTCACCGCTCTCATCGCCATTGCTTGCCGGCGCGAAGGTTGTCAGCCGCCGCGTTTGAAACTGACGGCGCAGCGCAAAGCTGGCTGGCTGGAACTTGTGCTGCTTTTGTGTGATGTCATTGCTGCTGCTGGAAATGCTGCTGCCGCTGCTGCCGCAGAGCTCTTGGCTTTCAGCTTGCTCAGGTAACTGTTGTTGGTTCTGCCGCCACCAGCAGCAGATGTTGCTGCCGGCACTGTGGTGGTTCCTGCTGCCGCTGTGGTTGTTGTTGCTGCTGTTGCTGCAGCTGCTGAGGGGCGACTGCGCAGTCGTCCATACTTGGAGGTCGCCGCTGCTGGTTCTATGCCTTGCGTGGTGGCCTCAGTTGACGCCGCCGCCGCCGCCAACGCCGGAGAGTTGATAATGCGGCGGCGCACGCTGAGCACTGGACGACGGGAGACGGCGACACTGGCAGTTGACGGCTGGCGCGGCTGCTTAACGGTACATGGAAGTAGAGAAGCGGATAAAGCGGTTTTAGTTTTTATTTCTTAATTTTTTTTATAACTATTTTTTTTTTTGTCTCAAAATTGGCAAACTTTTTTGGTATTTGCTTATTGTTTAACGCTCGAGGCTGTGGTTTTCTGTGATTTTTGTGTAATTTTTTGGTGCGTTTTTCCTGGCGGTGCAGTCAACAACAATTCAAAAGCGCGCCCCTCATGCTGGAGACAACAGAGATTAATATTCAAAAAATACAGCAAATAAATAAATAAATAAGAAAATAAATCAGAAAATTAATAAAATAATTTCTAAAAATTAATAAACTCTATAGTTTTGTACAAAATAAAGTTAAAATATGGCAAAATACGTACTTAAGTAGTCTACATAAGCAAAAAATAAATTAGTAGCTTGGCTTGTTGTGTTGTGTGTTTTTCTCTCTGGATTCAGTGGGTAAAAGGGGTGAGGGTGGTGGTAAAAAGGCTAAGTAATGCCAGTAATACGAGAAAGAAAACTTTCCCTTGTCCAAAAACCCTTTCTTTTCTCTGGCCTTCAAAGTCTTGACCGTAAACTGGAGCAAAAAGCAGCCGCAAAAATGCAGTTTGGAATTTTTTTAATTGAAGGACGTTCGAGTGCAAAACAAATATATAAATAACACTTGGACATTGGTCTCGGAACGAGTTATTTAACCTGGCTAGTGGTCATTATTTTGTGCTAGTTTTTTGCTTTGTCCACGCAATGTGGTTGACATTGAAAGCTAAACATGTACTTGGAGTTATGTTATGCCAACATCAGATCAAAATCTAAGGTTTTCAATTTTTACTTAATATTTTCTCTAACAATTTAAAGGTCAAAATAGTGTAAAAAATATTTTTAAACATTTTTAAATATTTCGGGTTTCAAGTTAAATTAAATTTTAAACTTTTCTGAGCTGATTTTTCAACACAAAACTGATTTAAAAATATTTAAAGACTACAAAATTATTATTTATTATTTTTTAATTTATATAAAACTTTTTAAGTATTTTCTTTTTGAACCAAACTCTAAATATTTATGATTAGAACCAAAAAAAAACTAACTAAAAAATGTTATAAATTTTAAAGATTAATTTCCAAACTTTTTTCATTGCGTAAAAACCAGAAAATATTTTTTTATATTTATAAATATTTATAAATATATATATACATTTTTTTAATTAATTTTATTTAAGAGTTTGGCCTGCACAGAAATAAAAAACCCACCCAAGAGAGAGAGTTGCTGCTGGGCAGATTTTTGATGTCAATGTCAGAGACCGTTTCAAGACAATGGAACGACCCAGCAAGGTTTGGGCCAAAATACGCATCGTCTTTGGGGCTTTTGGGATGAGCTGCTCAGCTGAAGAGCTTGCGTAATGCCACAAGCTTCTTCGATCTGCCGATTGGATCGGGTATTTCTGCTTGGTATTTGGCAAGCCAGCTAACTGCATGCCAATGTGATTGCATAATCTCAGGTCCCCCAGCTCCTGCCACTCTCAAGCTGGCTTCCTACTCTGGGGCAGATGCGCCGCCGAGAGAAACTGGTTGGGCTTTGGCTTTAATAAAAATAATATTGTGCAAGCTCTGGTGGTCATCAGATTGAAAACTGATGATGCGTACAGGGCGTCGTCTTCTGTTTTGTTTGCTTCTGGTGGGTTTATTGTGAAAGTTGCAAAACGAAAGACTTAAGGTGCGAACTAGAGAAAGCTAAAGGCACGGGGCCCTTTCAAGGCCAAATCAAAGAAAAGGGAAGGGGATAGAGTCAAGTGGGGTCACCTATTGGCCAGATTATATTTAAAATAAGTTGGCTTAGAGGAAAGTAGCAAGTAGCAAGACGAACTGGTTTCTGCTCTTCAAAAATATATATTATACCCTCTTAAGGTATGTGGAGTAATCTCATTTTCTGTGTAAACACTCCTTGTAACTTGAACTCTTGTGTACTCTTTATCTCCATCAAAAAAATAACAAAGCTCGTTTCCCTAAGTGCAACACCTTTTGATCTCCTTTTATGGCTTCTTTTACGGTCGGTTTTTTGTTTGCTCTTTTTTTACTTTTCATGGGCACTTGGAAAGGAAAATATCTCGACAACCGTTAACGACTTTTTGTCAACCTGATTTCTGAAGTTACTGGATTTTTTCCAGCCGTCGCCTGTCAGCTTTTCATGTTTGCCAGGCAGCGGCGGAGCTCGTGATTTGACTTTTGGCAATTATCGTTTCGAGGAGAGACTAGCTATATAGCCGGCGATTATGAAACATGTCTCGTATGCAGTAGACCCTCGCCAGCAATTTGCAAATTGTTTTGGCTGAACTCGTTTTTTACTTTTTATTTCATGTGTTTTTTTTTTTTTTTTGTTTAGTTATTTTTCCGCTCAGTCTGCACATCTTGCCGACTCATCGAAAGTTGAAACCGATTATTCAGACAAGCTTGCTCTCCTACATGTGGCAATAATTGCATCCAAGAAAAAAATATATATATGCCTCTGACATTTAGCGGCGGAGAGAAGAAAAGAAGCCCGAGTCGATGACTTGGCAAATAATAAGCAATTCTACAAGTGACATTTGAAAGAGCAAATGCATATATAATTGCATCTCAGAAGAATCAAAAGGGAGGGGGGTAAACTTTGGCATTTGCAAGCCTAAGATTTTGTAATATCCAGAGAGACTGAGACTAGAGACTGTTCTATATCCTAATCTTGATATATCAATTCTAATTTATAAGCTAAACTGTATAAAGTCTATAAAAAATAAACAAATTGCTGAAAAAGAGTTACTGTGAAAAGATTTAAATCTAATATAAATAAAATTATTTATATATGTACAAGATTATCCCAATCTAGTGTGTTTTCCTATATACAATTTTATTTTTTGTAAGGGAAAGGGTGATTTTCCAGAGGGATTTAGGAGCGGAAGGTGGTTGGTTTTTTTGTGTTTTGTTGTGGCAATAATAATTTGTATAGGTTGTTTCTTTTTGTTCATTATTTTATTGTTGTGCATAAATATTTTACAGCTAAAGCTAGACTTAAAATAACTCGAATAGAAAAGGGGGGGTAAAGAGTGAAATAAAAAAATATTATTCAAGAAAATATATAAAGAAAGAGATAGTTGGAAAGAGAGAAAGAGATAGTGATTTACTTAAGAACTGCGCCTGGTAGAAAGCAAAATTAAAAGTTTTTTCTTTTTTTTAAGAGCTTGTCAAGTTTTCTTGTTTAAAATCCACTTAGGGTCGTCGTTTCTCTTAGATTTTCCTAGCTTGAACCAAGGAAAGACTTTTCGCATCTGAGTGGTGTCATGTGTGTGTGTGGTGTGCGTGTGAAATTGTATGTGTGTGTGAGTAAGACATGTGTGTAGGCGTTGTTTTAGGTATGGCAGCTCGAAGAATACGAATACGAATACGAATTGTTTAAATAATTTACACAAGATGGAAAAAAAATATTTAAAAAAAATATATATATATAGAGCAGAGTATAACAAATTACTAGAAAAGCAGCAGCAGCACTGGGAAATTTGGAAAGAATATAATAATATTAAAATATATTTAAGCAGCCGAAGGGCAGCCAAAGCAACGCAGCCAATTATCTACGGTTCGGCATTAAGGGGTTAAGCCTGTCTTCTAAACTCAAAACTCAAAACTGGATAAGGGCTAAGACTAGAAATAACTAACTACGCTGTGTGTGTGTGTGGGACCTATTCCGGCACTGGGACGACAGTGGTGGCTATGGTATCATCGGCCTCGACTGTGCTGGGCGTCTCAGTGGTTGTTGTTGTTGTCGTCGTTGTTGTCGTCTTGCGGAGACGACGACCACGCCCCTTGCGGCCCATCTTCTTGCGATGCACCACATGGGTCTCGGAGCTAAAGCTCACCGCCTCACTGACGCGGCTGCCCACGGTGACTTGGGTTGAGCCACCGCCGATAGCTCCTCCACTAACTGCACCACTGCCCACTGTGCCCGATGTTGTCTGTGTGGTTTCTGATGTGGTTTGTGTGTTCAGTTGGGTGTGGTTGCCACTGGTGGAACCACTAGCCACTACCTGTTGTTGACTCTCAACTGTGCTTGTTGTCTGTGGGTTAACAGCCTCGGAATTACTGATCTCCTGGTGTCCACCGGCTGTCTGTGGCTGTGGCTGTGTCTGTGTGCCTTGACCAAGCTGCCCGATAATTGCTGCTCCAATTGGCACGGCAATTAGTGTTTCTTGTTTGATCTGACCATTGTCTCCATTGTCTGAATCGGAGCTAGTGGTGGTCAGTGGTGTCTGTGTGCTAGTGGTGCTGACGATGCTATCTGTGGTAGAGGTGGTGTCAAGGCCCCAGATAGTGGTTTCTTCCTCCGCTGGCCTAGCTGTGGTTGTGATCTGTGTCTGTGTCTGGTCGGGATTGTTTTGGTTGGAGCTGTCACTGGTCTGGACCACTGGTGCCTGCACCACCTGAGCCTGACGCACCGAGTAGGCCGAGTTGGAGTCGGCAGCGGCGGGCGCCATGGTTGTGCTGCTGCTGCCGCCATTCGCCTCGGCTAGCGACTTTTGCACCTTGCTTAGGATCACCTGGTCGAGATTGGCTATCGAGATGACCAGCGGCGAGGACTCATTGGATTCGGGGCGTAGGAGGGGTACTATGGGTCTTACGTATGTGGGTGCCAGGGTGGTGCTCTCGCCGTTTTCCGTGGCGCTGGCACTGTTGCTCAGGATGGTGGTGCTCTCCTCCTCCTCCGCCGGCAGTTCTCCTCCCGCAAAAACGCTGTTGCTGCTCAGCTGCTTCCCCTTCCTGGCCGAGTCAAACAGGCCCTCCAACGAGATGGTGGAGGTCTCTAGAGCTCCGGTTAAGACTTCGGGGAGCAGGGATTTGCCATCCCGATCGCTGCCTTCCGTTTCGGGCAGGGAGTTCCTCACCGGCGGCGAATTGCTCTGCCCGCTTGCCCTGGTCGTGGGCTCCGTGGGCGTGTAGTCGGCGACTGTGCTGTGACCATCATTGATCTGTATGTCGCTGCCATCTACCAGGTGCACGTACTTCACCACACTGATCTCGCCCAGCTGCTCAACATGGGGCAGCGACTCCACCCGCAGGGTGCCAAAGTCCTGGTTGGCCTTGGATTTGCGCTGCGCGGCCTTGGCCTGCTTGGAGTTGATCTCGACGATGCGATTGATCTCGACCACCTTGTGCTTGGGCACCACCTCCGTCTGGACGGTGGGCAGGAGCTTCACCGCCGGCCTCCTGGTGGTGGTGGTCTGCTCATCTTCGTTCTCGCCCTCGCCCTCGATCAGGGTGAACACGTGCAGCAAAGTGGTGGCCGGTGGCGGGGCCTGGGTGGTGCTCGACTGGGCGGTGTGGGTCAGGTCCTGTGAATTGACGGAGGAAGTGGCTTCATTAGCATTGGTCGCTGTCTCGGTTTCGGTTACGGGTTCAGTTTCGGTTTCAGTTTCTGGTGGCGTGTCTGTATTGGTGGCTGTGGCTGTGTCTAACTGTGTGCTGGGTGGTGGTGGTGGTGCTGGTGTACTGGGCGTGGTAGTCACGAATCCCTGATCCGCTGTGAGGGTGGTCTCCTCCTCGGCGGCCACCTCGGTTCCGGTCTCCACCTCCGCTCCCGCTCCCGCCTCTGTCTCCACCTTGACCACCTTGGGCTTCAGCGTGGTATGCTTCTTGCTGTGCTTGTCAAATATCTTCTTGTTCCGCGCATTCAGCGCATCGATATTCAGCTCCTCGATCAGGGAGTTCTCGCTGGCGCTCTCCGTCGCCTCGGTGGATGGTCCCGAGTACTTCCTCTCGTAGCTCCTGGTGTTGCTGGGTATGAACGGCGCCGGCTTTAGCGGCGTCAGCGGGGTGGTTCGCTCATAGTCACTGGCCACCGGCTTCAGGGTGAGATTGGGACCGGCCACGCCTGGCGGACGGTTGACTACTCGGGGTCTCTTGGTGCTGCCAAAGCGGTTGCTGGGACCGTTGGGGTTGGAGCTGCTGGTGCTACTGGATGGTCGGTTGCGGGGATTGAAGGGCACGTTGCCGGGTGCGGTGGGTGCTCCACTGCCGGTGGCCCCAAAGTTGGGGCGACTGCCGGGCGGCACGCGGTTGTCCTTGGGCTTGTAGGGGGAATTAAACTTGGGCTTGGTGGTGTTCGTGTCCTCTGTGGGCTTCTCCTCGCCACCAGCAGGCTTCTTCTCTGCATTTTCCTCTGGCTCATCCTCCTCCTCCTCGTCGCCCTCTTCTTCGGAGTCCTCCTCCTCTTCCTCATCATCCTCCTCGCTCTCGTCTTCCTCATCTTCCTGCTGAGGCTTGGATTTATCTAGGACTGGACGCGTTTTAGGGACAAAAGGTCTACGCAAATTGGTTCCAAACTGATTCTGCAGCGGATGCTCCTGCTGTGCCTCCAACTCTTCCTCGCCATCCTCGTTGCCTTGGACCTTGAAGCGATCTGCTCCCGGCAATCTTGCGCCACGAGGATCGCTTCTCACAAAGCCTTCTCCGCGGTTGCGAACACTCGAGTTGAAGGGATCGAATCTGCCGTTCTTGCGGCGCACAAACTTGGCCGTTGGTCGGGAGGTGCTGAAGGCCAGCGGTGCCTTCGTGGTGCCCGATGAGCCGCCGCTCGCCGAGGGTGGCGAGTAAGGCCTGCGGGCTACCAGCTTGCGCTTGAAGAAAGGTCGCGGCGAGGACACAGACGAGGACTGCTCATCGTCGCTCGAAGATGAAACGGAATCTTGACCCTGCCGAGTGCCGGTGGACTTCTCCGCCAGCAGCTTCTTTAGGCGATCATTGATCACGCCCTGGTCACCGTCACCGCGAGCCTGCTCGGCCTTGACCTTGTCCCTCAACTTTTGCAGATCGGACACGCTTTCCTGGTCATCCTTTTGGCCCGGTGCCTTGAACCGACTACTGATGACACCATCCTGGGGCTCGCCCTTGGCCTGCTGTTCCTTGAGCCGCTGGCGCAGACTCAGTAGGTCATTCTGGCTCTGCTCCTGGTCCACAAATCTGCTGTGGCTGGGAACGAAGGGCTTGCGGGTGGTCTCCTCGGAGTTGTCCACACTGGCGGCAGTGCTCGAGTCCACCGGTCGCAGCTTCCGCACAATTTTGCGGAAACGCTTGCCGTTGGTGCCCACTGTGGTGTTGGTGTTGCTTGTGGTGGTTGGTGGTGTGGTGGCAGTGGTCTGGGTGTCTGGGTTAGTGTCAGTGGCGCTATTAGTGGTGCTATCTACGTTGGAACTATTGCTATTGCTATTCAGGGGTCTGCGGAATTTTAAGACGCGGATGCGCTTGGGTGTTGGCCGGACGGTGGTGGTGGTGGTGGTTCCGGTCTCGTCTTCATTGGACTCCGTTTCCGATACGGATGCGGCTTCATCCTCCACCGCTTCGTGGGGCTGTGCCTTGGCCTCGGTCTCCTCGGCAGTCTGCTCATCGACTAGGGTTAGTTTAGTTACCTGAGCGCGCTGACGGCCCCCGAAGGCCAATCGTCTGGCATTGGCTGCTGTCGGGGACTGTGGGGTTGACGTCGATGGTGGGGTGCTGGTGGTGGTGGTGGTGGTGCTTCGGGTGCGGCTCAATTGATAACGATTCTGAAAGCGTCGTTTAGAATTAACGTCATTACCTAAGGCATTCAAACCAGCCCCACTTGCTTTCTCTTCCGCCACATTCTCCCCCTCATTCTCTAGACTAGCATCGTTATCATCATCGGTATCATCATCATTATCATTATCGCCTCGATCATCGTTATCATTACTGTGACTATCTGCCTTAAGATTAGCTTTGACTGTGACTGGTTTGTTTTTGTTGTTTGTGTAACTGTTTGACTTGAAACGATTAATCAAATAATTGGCTACGGTGCTGTTACTACGTTGACTAGCTACATTCAGTGCGGTGCTTCGGTTAGTTGTGCCATTAATGTTACTGTTACTGTTAGTGAGAGTGGTGCCTACCCCCAGGGAGTGACTGGTGTTAGGGATGCGTGTACTGTTCGATACCTCGGCAGAGCCATCGTCCTCCTCCGAGTCTTCCTCGTTCACGGTCTCGTCGTTGTCAGTGTCCGAGTCGGTCTGTCTTTCGGTGGTGCTACTAATCACTGTCCGCAGGGGTTGTCTCTGCCTGCTGGCAAGCAGTTGGCTTAGTCGTGACCGGGCAGTGGTGCTTCGGATGGCGGGACTCTCTTCTGGCTCATCCTCAGCCTCTTCATTCTCGTCGTACTCCTCCGCGGGCTCTTCCTCGTCCTCCTGATCCTCCTCCGCTCGGTGATAGAGATTCCTGTTGATGGCCACCAGATTGCGTCTGGTGCTGGAGCTAACTCTAGCCGGTGCTGCGGTGGTGCGGCGAGCTGCAAAGTTGGGTGGCTTGCGGGCCAGCACTGCTCCACCTGTGTGCTCCTCCTCCTCTCCCTCCTCCTCCTCGGGAGTGCGTTGCAGCGCTCGATGGCGATTCGTTTGAAGGAAGCCGGCACGTGGTGGTGCTACCTGCTCCTCAGCCTCCCTATCGGGTTTTTCATCATCGTCTTCATCACCATTGCCTTCGGTGGTTGTGGTGCGCGGTGTGGAGAAGCGATTACGTGAGCGGTTCAAGGCCGCGTACGGACGACGTGTGGTAACGTCATCCAGGTTCGTTGATCCCTTCGTGGCAGCGGTTGTCGTTGATGTTGTTGGTGGCGTAAAGCGGCGACGTGACAAAAGCGAGCGCCTGGTGGTGCTTGATGTTGCCTCATCTTGATCTATTTCATTGTCCGCACTTGGATTTTCGGTCGTTGACGTGGTTGTTGTTGGTGTTGCGGTCGCATTAAAGCGTCGGCGTATCAAAAGCTGCCGCCTGGAAGTGGTTGTTGGTGTTGCTGCTTTTTCGGTTGAACTCTCCTTATCAGCGAGATCTACGATCTCATTCTCCAGATTCTCTTCCAGCTTCTCATCCGTCACCGGGGCAGCCGTGGTAGTTCCATTGAAACGGCGACGAATTACCAGTTGACGACGCGTCGGCGTGGTGCTGGATGGCGCGCTTGTGGTCGTGGTGCTTGATGGAGTGCCTGTGGTCGAGGTTTCAATAAGGGGTATGATCTCTTCTTCCGGAATCTCGTTGTCATCGTCTATAATGGCCTCAAGTTCGGGTTCTTCGGTGCTGTCCTGAGGCTCTTCGGGTTCTTTATTTTCAGTTTTATCGGTTGCTTCATTCTTTTCAGCTGGCTTTTCTTCAACCTTATCGGATGTTAGCTTTTCTTCAACCTTGACCTCCGAGCTTATGGTGGTTGATTCCTCCTCTTTCTTCTCTGAGTCTTCAGTTTCGTTCTCTTTTGGCTTCTCGGTGGTTGTGGTCGTGGTTGTTACTCTGCGACTGATGCCCACATAGGGTTGCCTACTGCCTCTCGAAGTGGATTTTGTGGCTTCAGTTGTTGACTCATCTCCTGCCTCGGTAGTGGTAGTAGTGGTAGTGCTTCCTCTGCCCCTCAGCCTATTAAGACCCGCATAGAAACGTTTTGTTGTGGATTCAACCTTGATTTCTTCCTCCGTTTCTTCACTAGCTTCTGTGCTAGAGGGAGTTGCCGGTGTGGTAGAGCGACTGCGGAATCGCTGAGGAATGCTGTAGCTTCTCCTCGTGGTGGTGTCTAGTGAATCCTCACTAGTTTTATCCTGCAGCCTGGTCGAGAGTGTCAAGCGAGTACGATTTAGTCTCGTATAAAGACGCAAGGCTCTGGCTTCATCCTCGCTTCGTTCTTTTTCCTCCAGAACAGAAATGTCCACAATCTTTGATGTTTCATTGCTGGAATCCACTGTCAGCGGTATTGTTTTAAATGTTTTTCCCTGTCGCTGCGATTTTATTTTGTCTTCTTGGCCCTCTTCATCTTCGTCTTCATCAATATCGGCGGTTATCTCATCATCTTCGAGCGTCTCCTCTCCTGATCCGACCAATTTTGCCCCCAGGTGACCTACTTTGACCCGGGGGTTTTCAATAAAAAATGACCGAGCTCGGCATTGATTTCCTTGGCCTGCTCCATCGCCAGGCGATGGCCAGCGCTCTCTCCCTCATCCTCCACAGAGTTAATCGGCGTTTCATTCTCACTCACATTAAAAACATCATGGATTTGTTGTTTTATGTTCACGGTCGCAGTTTCGATATCCGGTGGTGCTGGAGATTTGTCTATGTATGTTATAGGAGAATCCTTGACGTACTGATAATACTTTCTTCGGTGGTAAATGGGTAACGAAAGTCTCTCATCGCCTGTATCTTCTGAAGCATCTCGTTCCTTGGCTGGTTCCTGGCCTTCTAGTTTGTTTCCTGATTGCAGGCGATTAATGGCACTGCTTAGCTGTTGCTTGAGGTCGCTTAAGTCTTCTTCGGTGGCAGTAGTTGTGGTTGCCTCTGTGGTTGTAGTTGTGGCCTTGGTGGTGCTGGTCTTCAAGCGATTTACAAACCTTTGCTTCGCCGCCGCCAACTGATCTTCGGTGGAGTCTTCTTCAATGGGGGCTTGGGTAGTAGTTGTTGTGGTCGTTGTTGTGCTCACTGGCCTCCTGTGGGCGAGCACTCTCCTGGTGGATGCGGTGGCTTCAGTGGAGGTAGTTGCAGGTTCTTCGGTGCTTGTCGTTGCCTTGGTTGGCCTCTTGAAGGCGAAGCCGGCTCTGCGAGTACTGGCCTCGATTTCATTTGGTTCTTCTGTGGTGCTTGTTGTTGTACGTGCTATGGTCGGCCTGGTTCTCCGGATTATGGGCCTGGCTGTGGAGCTCACTTGTGGTTCTAGCTCCACTTCGTTGCCAGCCTCGTACTCAAACTCCTCTACCTCTTCGTGCTCAATAGTTTCCTTGGGCTTCTTCAGCAGCCGCCTGCGTGTCTTGGTCACCGTTGCCTCTGAGGTCTGAGTCTTCTTGCGGTGGCTACGGGCAGAAAAGTCCTGGGCCAGCAGTGACGAGAGATCGTTGCCCTGGAAACGCACGGAGCCGCGATTGCGAGTCACCATGCGTGGCGTGGTACTCGGTGCTGGCGGGTGTGTCACCTCATCAACAATGTACTCGTACTCGGCTGGCTTCTCCTCAATGGTCTTGGTGTGGATGCGCTTCACCACCTTTTGGCCAGCATCAAGGGTGCGCACATAGGTGGTGCGAGTGCGAGTGACTCCGTTGCCCAGGCTCTCGGTCTTGGTGGTGGTCCGGTTACGAACGGCATTCAGTGAAATGCGACCAGCGCTTACTTTCTCTGCCGTTTGTGGTTCCTCTAGCGGCGCTTCTTCTTCCTGGGATGAATCTGAATTGCCTGCAGAAGTTTCTGTGGTCGTCGTGCTCTGGTTCTTCCTGCCCCTCTTATTGGCATCTGCCGCCAGGAGAGATGAGAGATCTCCCTCTTTCTGGGGCCTAAAGCTACCTCTGACTATGACTCGACGTCTGGGAAGAGCAGTGGTGGTCTCCGCATCGCTAATATTTTCCTTGTCACCCTCAGTGGTGGCCTCTGTAGAGCTGCTGGTTCGGAAGAAGGAGCGCCTAGTGGTGCTGCTCTCTTCGGGCTCTTCGGTGCTTGAGCTTGTTGTTGTAGCTTCAGTGGTGCTGGGTGTCTTGTTGCGGAACAGGGAACGACGAGTGGTTGTGGCTTCGGTGCTAGTAGTGTCTGCTTCGACTTCATCGCTGACCGAGCTGCTACTGCTCTCTTCAGCTGAAGCCGTGCTTGAAGCCTCAGTGGCTTCGGTGCTAGTAGTGTCTGCTTCGACTTCATCGCTGACCGAGCTGCTACTGCTCTCTTCAGCTGAAGCCGTGCTTGAAGCCTCAGTGGAGCTAGTTCTAAAGAAGGATCTTCGTGTTGGGGCTACTTCGGTGGTCTGGGCCTCTACTTCAGCTTCTTCTGTGTTGCTGCTGCTGCTGCTAGAAGCCTCAGTGGAGCTAGTTCTGAAGAAAGATCGACGGGTTGGGCCCTCGGTAGTTGTAGTCTCAGCCTCAATTTCAGCTTCAGTAGAGATGCTGCTCGGTGCCTCAGTGGAGCTAGTTCTAAAGAAAGACCTACGTTTTGGGACTTCAGTGGTCGTTGTCTGAGCTTCAATTTCAGCTTCTTCTGTGCTGCTGCTGCTGGGTGCCTCAGTGGAGCTAGTTCTCAAGAAAGAACGACGGCTTGTTGCTTCTGTGCTCGTTGACTCCACTTCACTCTCTGGTTCAACGGTGCTGGTTCTCGTGCGCACGATAACACGTCGTCTTGGGGATGAAGTGGTCGTTGATTCTTCTTCGACCACAGATTCCGAGGAAGCGGCTGTTGTCGTGGAACCAAAGCGGGAACGACGAGTTGGCTTCGCTGAGCTTGTTGTGCTTTCTTCTGGAAGAATTTCCGCAATACTGCTGCTTTCTGGCAACTCAGTGCTGCTTGCTGGAGGTTCAGTTGAGCTGCTGCTATTGATATCGGTAGCGGTTTCTCCTTCCGCTGCTGCTGGCAGTGTAGTTTCATCTATCAAAGCTTCGACGCGTAGGGCAGCAGAGCTGCTGCTAGATTCTGTGGTCTCTTCAGTGGTGCTGCTGACAAGTGATTCAGTGCTGCTGCGGACAGGTGCTTCAGAGGGGCTGCTCGCGTCCTGTACGTTGGCCTCAGCATCTTCCACTGAAGGCAGTGTAGTGATCTCTGCAATTTCCAGGGCCACTGCTTCTGTTACAATTTCAGGAGACTCCTGCTCCGTGGCCGTGTTGCTATCATCTGTATTCTCACTTCCAGCAGGTGCCTTGGTCTCTCCTCTATTCTCATCATCGATTATCTCAGCGGCCACATTCTCGTCTTCGGTGGTTGTCTCCAAAATCTGACCACCCCTGCCCACGGGCTGGTGGCTACGGAGCTTGGGTGCTTCGCCAAGGTTTCTTACAAAACTGGAGCTACGTCCTGTGGTAAGATGAGCCGCTCCCTCAGAGTCGCGGGTAATGGCCTTGTAGCGGATTTGAGAACCATCTTCTGTGTTCCTACTAGCAGTGCGCTGGATGCTCTGGTAGCTGCGGGAACCCTGGGATTGCGTTGCTGTGGCGGTTCCTCTCTCAAGAGCCACCTCGGACTCTTCTTCGGCCGAGTTCAGGCGACGACTGCGGAATTTGGTGGTGGTCTGAAGATCCTCCTCCGGGTCAGAGCTTAACTGCTTGCCGGCAAAGCGCCGAGAGTCCTTGTCGTCACCGGCTAAAGAATTGGGAGCCACTGGAGCGCGGGTGGGTCGCACACCGCGCCAAGTGTACTTGGTCTTTGTCTGGTTGATAGTGCCATCGTTATCGATGTGGTTCGGGTTGGGGTTCGGGTTCGGGTTCTGGGCTTGGGATTGACTTAAACTAGAGCTAACTACTTCATGCCTTAAGCTATTGCCACCGTTACCAGCTACTTCTACTTGGGGTTCTTGGTGGTGCAGTGAGGTTGTTGTTCTGGTGTTGCTTGCAGTGGTTGTTGCTGTTGGAAGACTGGCACTCACCTTGGGCCTATCCCCTGGGGATGGTCGTGTCTTCTTCACTACCTTCGCAACGGCATCGGTTTCGTTTAAGTTATCGTTTACGTTATCGTTATCGGTATTGTTATCACTGTCGGTTTGGGGTGCTGTGCTACTGGTGCTGGTGCTAGCTGTGGGTCGTGTGCGACGTCGGGGATAACCAAAGGGTCTGGGACTAGAGACACTGGGGCTCGGTTCGACGGTGGTCTGTTCGTGGTTGGGTTCTTGGGTGGGTTGCCTTCTTCCCGGGTTGGTTCTAAAGCTATTTAAACTACTCAAACCGTTTCTTGTTGGACTAGCATCGTTCGCAGCTTCTGCATTGTTGTTGCTGTTGCTATTCGTTGTTGTTGCTGTTGTTGTGGTAATGCGTCGACGGTTCGTGGTGGCATACTTGTTGCCGTACTGTGTCTTGGTTTTCGTTACCTCACTGTCCTCGCTGTCCACGTTGTCTACGTCATTCAGTTCGCTGTTGCCCGTGCTGGCTGTCGTTGTGGTTGTAGTCTTCGGAGTCGTCGTCGTTGTCGTTGTGCTGGCCAGTTCGGGTTCCGTTGAGGTGGTTGTTGTGGCTAGGTCAGGATTGGGGGGAAGCTGGGTGGGATTGGTGGGCTCGCTCGGCTCGCTGGCTAGCAGGGAGTCGGAGCCGAGGCCAGAGGTTGGTGGGACAGTGGAGCCTACAAGTGGTGTGGTGGGTGTGGTGGTATGCAGGTTGTTAATGGTTGAGGTGGTGGTTGAGGTGGTGCTTTCATTTGGTTCAGTGGGTTCGTTAGTTGTGGTTGTAGTGGATGTGGTTTCGAGTTGGATGGTGCTGGGTGTTGCAGTGGTGGTGCTCTCTTCTGTTGGTATTAGGTTATTCAGTTTCACATTGTTGTAGTTATTGCTGCTGTTGTAGTGGTTCTTGTTGTTGTTGTTGGTGGTGGTGGAGTTGGTGGTGCTGGCCTTGGCAGTCTCAGTGCCGGCAGTTGTTGTTGTTGTTGTTTCTGGTGTTGCTGTTGTTGTGGTTGTGGTTCTGCGACCAATGCTCGCATATTTACGTGTATTTGTTGTTTGTTTGCTCTGTACCGTAACATGCTCCTTGAGCGCCTCATCCTCGTACTCCTCCTCCTCGTCCTCGAGAGGATCCTCCACGTCCTCAGCATTTGCACCCTTTGTGGGTCGCGTGCGCTCAAAGTACTTGTACCTGTGCCGGTGGAAAATATCAGAGTTTGAACCTCTTAAACACCTCCCTTAGCTTCCCACTTACCGATTGGTTGTCGAACTGGGCGATGCCTCTGTGACCTCTGATGGTGCCGCCGTGGTACGTCCTCGGGTGCGGCTCAAGGTGGCATAGGCCTTCACCGGCGTCTGGGTTTGCTCCTCCACATCCTCCTGGGAATGATCGGCAGCCGGTGCCACAGTTGTTGGGCGAGTGCGCCTGAGACTCGTGTAAGAGGGTGTGACTGAGCTCAAGGGGCGACGCGTTGTGGTCGCCACATCGGCCAGTTGCTGCTCCTCCTCCTGCTGTTCCTGGGCCTCCTCTTCATCTTCGCCCTGACCTGCAGATCGGTGGCGATTAATGGTCACATACTGCTTGCGCTCCTTCAGGAAGCCATCGAACTCGGCCAGCTTCTCAATGCCCTCGTTCTGCGGACCCTGACGACTGTTTCCCCTCAGCACAGAGGAGTACTTGGAGTAGTTATTAGCTGTGCCGCTTGAGGTGCTGCTCGACGAACTGGCCTCTGTGCTGGTCTCGGTGGCCTCGCTGATCTTGAAGCGGTTGCGGGTGAAGGAACTCAAAGTTCCGGGGCGACTCAGGACGCGATCATACAGAGACTTGCTGATGGTTGAGGGTGTTGTGGCGGCGCCACTGGCTGAGTTCTCCTTCAGAGTGATGGAACCATCTTTGTTGCGCAGCAGATGCTTCTCCAGCTGCTCTACACCGCCCACCTTGCGAATCAGATCGATCAGCTCCTTGATGACCTGTGGATCTTCCTCGGCATCGGTCGACTTGCTGGGCGACAACTCATCGGTGTCCTCCTCGTACTCCAGATCCTCCTCGACCGCCGCTGGCGTTGTCGTGGTGGTGGTGGTCGTCGTTGTGCTGGTGGTGGGTCGTGGATAAACTGGACGGGCGGTAGGCGCCGCTGTCACTCGATTGGGTCGCGCTGTCGTGGTTGTTGAGGTAGAGGTCACTGGAGCCGCAGTAGTGGATCTAAATGGATGGAAAGGATTAGTCCTTGGTGTCTACAAGCATCCTGGAGAGGCATTCATTTACTTTTTAGTCTTGCAGGGCACATTCCGGGCAAAGTCACAGGAATCGGCGGCGGGGTTAAAGTACAGACCCGAGGGACAGGTGAACATGTGGGCCACGATTCCAAGTCCCGACGGTCCGCTGTCCAGACACCAGTAGTACTTCTTGCAGTCTCTAGGGTGCTGGAAGAAGCCCTCCTCCTCGCACTTGAAGTCCGAGCCCGGGTCGGGAGTGGTCGGGGGCGGTGGCGTGGTGGATGCCCTGCCACCGATATACAGGGAAGATCCCTCGGCCTCGGTCAGCTTGAAGGTGGTGCTCGGTGGTGGGGCCTGCGTGCTGGTGCTGGAGCTCACCACTGGTCGTCGGGATCCGCTGGGTCTCCTCGAGGTGGCTGGTGCCTCGCTCTTGCCATTGAGGCGGTTCCGAGTGCTGGCATTGTCGCGACTGCGAGATCTCGAGGGTTTCTGCGGGCCACTTGGCTTGGCCACCTCGTTGATGCCCAGTCTGAAATGGTGATTAAATGATAACTGATGATTTCCCCAAAGAGGTGATATTCTCCTCCTTACCCCAATGCATCCACCATGGCCTCCTTGGCGGCTTCGATCAGGGGATAGGGCTTGCCATTGCAGGTGCCGCGGAAGTCGTCGTTGTCAATGGCCCAGAACATGATGCCACCCAGTCCCTGGGCCACCACATACTCCGCCTTCTTGCGCACGATAGCCTCGTCGTCGTAGCCCACCCACTGGTTACGCCTGTAGGCGTAGGGACCCATCACATTAGCGTTAGGCTGCACCACGGTCCACTCGGGGTCATCCTTGAGGGTCTGACAGATCTAGTGGAAAAAGCAGCGGGTTAGAGGCTTCCAAAAATATCGCTAGGAGTATGGAAAACCAACCTCATAGTAGGCCAGGTATCCCTTTTCGCGGGTGGCATCGCCCTGCTCTCCGGGACCCTCCGAAGGGGCTCCCAGTTCCGTGCTCTCCTCGTTGATCAGAGTGTAGGATCGTCCGTAGGTGGGAATGCCCAGGACAAGCTTGTCGCGATCTGCGCCAGCCTTAAGGTAGTATTTGATGGAGTAGTCCTGCAAGAAAAGAAGGACTCTCAGTGCCAGAAATGCCAAAGGAACTCCAGGAAACACTTACAATATTCAACTCGGCATCGTAGTTGTACTCGGAGTCCTCCTCCAGGGAGTACAAAGGAGCATGGTGATTGACAGAGGGCTCGTGGGAAGAATGGAAGTCGTAGGTGAGGACATTGAACCAATCCAGATACTTGTTCAGCTTGGGCACATCGTAGCCCTTGTCAATGTATTCGATACCCGCTGGCACGGCCATGGTCAGGAGCAGGCGCGTCCGTCCGGTCTTCTCTGCCTCCCTTTCGAACTCGGCCCTCAGCTCCTGCACGAACTGGGCGTAGTTGTCCCGATCCCGGGATTTACCGCCCTCTCTGTGCGCCGGATACTCCCAGTCGAGGTCGATGCCATCGAAATGGTTCTGCCGCAGGAACTTCAGGATATTCTTGATGAACTGCTGTCGACGGTCGCCACTGGCCACCAATGGGGAGAACCTGGAGCTGGCCTCGTTCCAGCCGCCAATGGCAATCATGGTCTTCAGCTGCTTGTTGTACGTTTTGAGTCCGGTGAACTTGGCATAGCCACCTGGATAGAGGATACATCAGACAGGACAACAGGAAGAGGGCCGGAAATTGCAGCCGAGTGAAATTAACTCGCCGGAAGGACGGGGCGTGTCTGGGCTACTCACCCTGCTCAATGTCCTGATACTTGTCAAAGGGTTTCATCTGGTTGTCCTTTGTGAATCCACCGAAAGCGTACACCAGATGTGTACACAGGTAGGGATTGATGTTCTGCGGATTGAACTTGGCCGTGCCGGGGCGATAGACGCTCCAGTTTGTGTAGTAGCAGACCACGCGACCCTCGCTGCTGGCCTCTGTATGGCATTAAAATGCAATTAATTAATGGTAAATGGAATGCAATAATACAACTAAATATTGGATTTAAATAAGGTTTATAAGGTTTATTAATACCTCTAAAAATCTTTCATAGAATACTATATATTATTTTCTTAGCTTTTAAAATCGGAAACTTACCGTTTATGCAATAGGCGAGAGCGCAGAGCAGGAAGAGCGTTTGCCAGGCCGCTCCACGCCGGAACTGGAAAGGAAAAGGAAGGAGAACAATAAGCGTTGGCCAATTATAACAATTCGAGATGAGAAGCGGAAGCCAAGCTCGGAGACCGCCTAGGGCGGCAAAAGCACACAGCATTGACACAGTGACATCGATGGACAGGTCTTTGAAGATCGGTGGTGGTCCGCATAAATCTGGGCGAGACAAAAGATCCAAGACACGAACTCGAACTCGATGGCAGTTCCCATGAAGGTCGCCCATCAAATCAAATCAAATCATCGCGGCTTACATAAGCGTTGCTGCCATGCCAGATGATGAGGTGATGTGACGGAGATGAACTCCATATGCAAATCGGTCCTAATCAGATGCAGATGCCGCATATGCCACGCCTCTGCTTGGGTGTCATAAGACTAGGGGCGACAAGGAAGCTGATGGTGGCCCCCATTATTAGCATTACGAAGGCTGCTCTGCCTGAACAATTGGAGTGTTTGGAGATCGGGGAAACTGAGTCACACTCATAAATATCCCAAACGGATTTTCATATTAAAATGCCAAAGTGTTACAACAGCGCTCGCAGCCACAATGGGCCCAAATCTTTTTACGGATTTTGGTCAGCAACCGAAAGAGAAACAACATGAGATTACATAAGCAATCCGAGCCGAAACCAAACCGAACGAACAGCAACAAAAACTTGACTTCGATTGCGTGTGCGTGTGTGTGTGAGCTATGCCGGTTTTTTTTTATATTTATTTCTTTATTTTTGTGTTTAGTTGTTGCTTTTTTTTTATTTCTGGGCTTCATTCATCGAAGTGAATTTTACACGCAGTGTCTGCAAATCAAAATTGATCAACTCGCCGTGTAAGATATCTCATCTCATCAGCATCATCATCGAAAAACATCTGAGAGTTTGGAGGAACAGGTTGGATCATAACTAATTAGCGAGGCTTTACTATATACTATAAACAATATACTATAAACTATACATTATATATATTTTGTATATGGTTTTGGGATGACCAGAGCCATCGTAAAAAAGTGAATTTTGCTAATTGCGGCTGACTGGCCCCAAGGGGAACTTTCTTTTCGCTTAAATCAATTATATATAAACAAAGGTAAGCATATAGGGGGGCTTATGAAATCGAAGGGGAACTCAAATTAATTTTTTGTTTTAATTTATATAATTTTATAATATTAGTATTAAGTAACAAATTGAAGAGACAATGAAGGCACACATTTAAATGTGGTTTTTGTTCTGTAGTTTAAAAGTCTACTTTGCAATTTTTTCTAAATAATAATATTAGTATTAAATAATAAAAAATAGAAAAATTGTTATAAAAACAAAATAAATTGAATATAAAAAGCATCCTGGGTTATTTATTACACTAGGTAAAAATCAAATAAAGTCTTTTTTGGAAGTAATAACATTGAAAATATTTATTTCACATTTTTCGTATCAAAAACTCTTCGATTTGCTTGATTTTCGTTCTAAAAAACCTAAAAAAACGTAAGAAGTTAACACTTAAATATTAGTTATTTATCCTTATATTAATTTCCAACAAAACAATAAAGGCAGCTCTTACATTGCAGAATACACCTTCCAAGTAAAAAAGGGTTAAAAGGGGTTCATTGGCTGCTGGCTGCATACTCAGTCAGCTGCTCTCAGGTTCTTAACCCAAAATCCAACTCTGGCAGCAGCATTGGCAAATGGGAAACGCACTTTGCCAAACAATATACAAGTATTTGAAGCTTTCCCCTTTAGCCGTAAATCGCAGCCGTATCCATATCCGGCATTAGCTGGTGGCTGTGCCATTTGGCCAAAAGCCACTCGAAAGACATTCTGGTGGCAAGTTGGTGTATCGGTGTATCGGTGGATCGGTGGTTTGGGGTAATGGCATATTTACCCAGTGACAAGAGTGTGTGGACATTGATTGGGTCATTGGACCGGCGCACAGGTAAACAAGTAATGTTTATGGAACGCTGTGGCAATTTACATTTATATATAGCCATCATTTACATGGTCGCTTACGCATTGCCCAACATTGCTTTATGGCAGCGACTGCACCGGCTGCTTACATAAAATTGCAAGCCAAGAAAACTAAAAAACTATATAAATATATATAAGAAGAAGGAAAATAGCAGGGAAAGAGCAACTTAGCAACTAAGCGGCTAAGCAACTTGAATGAAAATGAAATGACAACAATTTCGATTGTACAATGCGCATGAGCATGAGCACTCGCATTTGTATTCGGAATTGCATTGATTGGCCAGTCTCTGTTTTTGACAAATTTGTCGATTTTACGCAAAGTAAACAGCAGCAACAGCAACAGCAGCAACATCACGCGCCTGCAACACATGTACTTAAAGGCAAATGCCACATTTGTTTCAGTTTAGTTTTCTGGCCCGGCCAGTCTGGCCTTATTCGCCGTTTCTCGCTTTTCTCTTAATTGCAACCAGCGGCTGGCAATTAAAATCAGGCTAAATGTGGCCTGGATGGACAGGTTGCAGGTTGCAGGCTGTCATGCCAGCTTGATGTGTTGCTGCCTCGTCGTCGGCTGCTGCAGGGCGCCTAAAATTGAGAATCGTTTTGGCCGGATTTACAGCCAGCGGCGGCACAATTTATGGACAAGTTGCTGCTGCAGTTGCTGCTGCTGCTGCGACGACAACAAGTTGCAACACCTGAGCCAGAGCGAGAGCGAGCTGCAACTGCAACTGCAGCTGGCTAGCCCGTTGCTTACGTAAGGCATCGCATTACGCGGCAAAAGCACAAACAAAAAAGGTACCATAAAAAAAGGAAAGAAAAATCCCCCTAAAAATGCAGAAATATTGCGTAGATACATAGCAATTTCTCAGTTGCAGTTGGCTTTGCATAAAATCTGGATTTTAACCTTGAATCGGGCACATAAATCGCTGCCGCCAAGTCGAGTTTGGTCTCGAATGACTCGAATCGAGAGCAGTTTTGTTTGATCTCAAGAACCCAGATCATGGGAAGCCATCGATATACTCGATACTTGGGCTGTCTCTCGCCCATTAGAAATCGATTGTCTTGCTGGCTGACAGACATGAATCAAGTGGCTCTAGAAAGGTTTCTTTTGAGCAGTTAAATATTATTGGCATTGTTCAAAACAGATAGTTGAGCTTTTTATAAGCCAGTTAGTTAATTTCTGAGGCACTTAAATAATTTAAATATTTCTAAATTTAAATCCAGTTTAGAACAAGCTGAATACTTAAGAGAGTGAGTCACTTTGGTAGTGATTAATGGGTCTTATTCAAGACATTCATACTTTTGGATAATATATACTAATGCTTTTCGGATATACTGATTTATAATTCAAATGTTTAAGTTGATTAGTTGACTTATTTCCTTACTAATTATTCCTTAAAAAATACTTTAAAACAAGGCGTACTAATTTAGGCTTGTAATTTAAAGAGTTTTACATTTGAAACAAGCTTATTTCATTTAATTAAATTATTTAAAAATAGTACAAAATCACAAGTAACAATTTTAGCTACTCCAACGATTTCTTCAATTAAATTTACTCATTAATTTTATTATTAGTGGCTGTTAACTCATTATTATTATTGGTATTAGCCGCCTAAATGTTAGTTGCATTTTACCAAAATTAATCACTTTTCAGCTTAAAGTCAAACCATTAAAAACAACACCTCATTAACTTGAAACACTTAATAAATTTATATAAATATGGTGTGGTTTTTATAGTTTTTTAAGTTGGACATGGCTTTTATGGATTCAACTCAAGTTTGGCCTGATGTTTAATTGGATTTTGTGTGAGTTTTTGTTTATATTTTATGAGCCAAGACTCTTTAAATTAGTTCGAATTCATTGACTAAACTATATATTTTTAGGTTACAAAATGCCCGAGTGTTTTTGCCGAGTCTCGTGTGTGAATATTTGAGTAAATTAAGCCTCTGCTGGCCATCAATCTTGGCCCCAAAAAAAATTCCGCAGATAATGCTCCGGTTATTCATAATCTTTGCCTGCAGCTGCTGCTGCTGTAACACTCACAGCCACACACATACATATATAGTATAGGAGGTATTCACCAACATTCATCCAGTATTCACACTCATTCACACACTCGCAGCCGAAAAGCATGACTGGCTAAAAGGGAAACAAGCCGGTAAGGAAGCCGAAGCTAGGAATACTCTTGCCCTGAGGACCACTTACTGATAACACTCAACATTATAAGATACTTGGCTGTAAGATATTTATTTTGTATTATTTATTATTTTTATATATTATTGATTATTTATCATTATAAAATGGCACAATAGTTGATATCCCCTTTCCATTAAGTGTATGAAATATGTGGTAAAGTTCAGCTCGCCTTAAATGCAACTTAAAATTCAAAGACGGTCCGATGCAGTGCCTCTTCCCCCCACGAATCCCTTCCAGTCAACGCAACCGCTCCCCTTCCACTCTCTGGCATTGACTGGAAATTTCCGTCCGTAGCACGTAGAATGTGCCGCACATCATGTCACGTTTTAAGGTACCGTCGCAATGTCAACGCCCCCCAAAAAAAAAACACACACAAAATAAAACAAAAGCAGCCGAGAGATCAATGTCTGGCAAGAGCTGCGTTGCGCATACGCCCCGTGGGCTGGGCAGAGATGGGACCTGAGCCTGGGCCTGGGTCTGAGCCTGGGCCTGGGGTGTGCCTGCAGCTGAAGAGTTTGGTAAACAAAAGTTTTGACATTTGAACATTTTTCGGGAATTCGGGCCACTCCACTTTGGCCACTTGTCCACTGAGCCACTCTGTTCCATACTGTTGGAGCCACTCAGCACCACCGAGGGTGCATGATGGGTGCTGGGTGTGCCATAAGCTGGAGCCACAATGCCAGAGATCGGGGGGGGCGATAAGTCGATGGCTTTAACTCTTGCATTTAGCCGGGATTTATGCCGTGCGAAAGCTGGGCATTGTTGGCCAACAACCCGAGATTAGCGTGCGAAAGATTTTTCCCAGTCTCGCCAGTCTTTCGCTAACAATTTCGGCAACTTTAGTTCCAGC